TGCTGCTTCAGGATGGAGTTCTGTGCCGTAAATGGGAAAATGTTCGGGGGAGACAGCTGTCATTTACAAATGGTTGTCCCTAAAGCTAAAGTACCGGATGTTCTACAGCTGTACCATAATGATTATTCAGGAGGCCATCTGGGAGTTAAACGAACTCTACTGAAGATCCGAGAACGGTTTTACTGGGTCCACTGTCGAAACGATGTCGAGGACTGGTGTCGCAAATGTACAAGTTGTGCGGCTGTAAAGGGACCTCAGACTCGTAGTAGAGGTGCATTGAAGTTGTACAATGTTGGTGCACCATGGGAGAGAATAGCCATCGACGTGGCGGGGCCGTTTCCGGAGAGTGAAAGCGGTAACAGGTATTTCATGGTTGTGATGGATTACTTCACTAAGTTGCCGGAAGTCTTCGCCATTCCAAATCAAGAAGCTTCAACAGTTGCTGATAAGCTAGTTCATGAAGTCTTCTGTCGTTTTGGTGTACCTTTAGAGATTCACAGCGATCAAGGAAGGAATTTTGAGTCTCAAATATTCCAGGAAACTTGCCGAGTTATGGGTACTCATAAAACAAGAACGACTTCTTATCACCCGCAATCTGATGGAATGGTAGAACGATTTAATCAGACATTGGAGAGGTACCTAGCAAAAGTTGTAGACAATCGGCAACGAGATTGGGACAAGCACATACAACCGTTTTTGTTGTCATATCGAAGCGCTGTTCACGAAAGTACAGCAGTGACACCAGCTTTCGCAAACTTTGGAAGAGAATTACGGCTGCCTGCAGACCTGATCACCGGGATACCACCTGATGCTCCACGCAGTATAACCGAGTATGCAAATGACTTGCGGAACAAAATTAATGACGTTTATGAGCACGTCAGACAATCGGGCCAGCAAATGTCTGAAAAGATGAAAACCCGGTATGACCGCAAAATGAACAACAAAGGGTTCGACGAAGGTTCACTTGTGTGGTTGCACAATCCAGTCCGCAGCAAAGGGAAATCTCCTAAGCTTCAAGCTAAATGGGACGGCCCGTACCGGATTGTGACCAGGATCAACGATGTAACCTACCGGATACAGAAAGGCGTAAGAGGGACTCCTAAGATCGTCCATGTAGATCGCCTAGCGCGTTATTATGGGGCCGATAATGCTCGGGACGAGCATGTCTTAGGAGGGGGCAGTGTTACGCGCTCCAATGCCTCAAATCGGCGCACTAGCGCCATCTAGTCTCGAACCGAAGAACTAAACTTCTTGAAGTTTAAAACTCGAACTCTCGGTACCTTGCGCGTGTTTACTTGAACATTCTGGATATTTTGCTAATTTATATAAGTAGGCGCTGAAAGATGCGATCGAGTAGTATTGAATTGGCGATACGAGCGAAGCTTCGGAGCGAAATTAAGTGAATTAGTGTGTTTAATTATTAGTGTTTTAAGTTTTAATTTGTTTAAAGTAAATTAAAGTGTTAATTTAGGTAATTTTATCGGCAATTTTTATTGTCACGAACCTCAAGCTCGTAACATTATTAATATTAATTATTATTTTGTTTGTACCTTAGTATATAAAACAACACGTTATTCATTAAAATTAATTGTGCCTAGGTTATGTTAGCATAAAGTACTCTTTAGATGATATTTAATTAATTAGCTTTGCATAGATTTGCTAGAGGATATTTCAGTATTGCGCTCCTACCACCTATAGAATTAATATAGACACAAATAAAGGGACAAGTGGCACAACATCATTTTATAAACCTTACAAATTAGATGTAGCTCAGTGGCGAAGCTAGGGCTCCAAACTAGGGCAAGCCCAAGATATGGTTTTGTCATTTTTAGCAGTTTAATAAAAATACACCAATCTTAATATGTCTCCAATCTACAGTTTCATATTCAGTGCTGTCAAGGACGTGTTTAAGAAAGCACACAGAAAGCATACTACCGCTAGATAGATTGTATGACAAATGCAATTGCACACCTTCGGTGGTTTTGAAAAGAGCTGTTTGGGTTTGCTTGAGATATTTACAAACAATACAATACATGAACAAAAGAAAAGCATGAACAAAGTACAAACAAACTATGTACAGAGTTAAAAAAGGGACGCCTGGCAGATGTGAAAGCTCGAAATATTTTGTTTAAGTTATATGCATAAAAGAACAGATTACGACAGGAATTAGATAGTTATGATGAGAAGATAAAGCTTTGCTAATTTTTTACTATAAAATAATGACTATTTATTACATAATTATTCATTTTCAATTTATAATAAACCGTACAAAATGATATTTTTAAACTCATATGGTAATATTTAAATTAGCCGATAGCGTATTTGTGCCATCTAGCGTAATCTTTAGGTACCATCGTGAGAATCAACCAATTTTCGTTCGATAAAATGACTTTACCTATAGAATTTAGTAGATGGCGCTATTAAAATTTTATATCAGGGGGGTACACTTCCATATTTTAGGTTGGGGTTCAATAATTTGCAGACACTAGTGCCATCTTGTACGATACCCCATAAACTTTCGAACATTAAATTCGAAAAGGTGCGCTAGATGGCGACTACACCAATTCTGGTTATTCTCGAACTGGCAAGTAGCAACTTTATATGACATACAGACATAATGTCTACCGGCGTCTGAGCAAGTTGTTGTCTTATTATAGTTTATAAGTGATTTTCGGTTGTTGCTACAATAAGTTTGGTTGAGTTGGATTAGCCCTCTGTTTCTTGTTGTCCGTTTAGATTTTCATGCTGGAGCCACATTGTATGTTTGTGTAGTGTTGTGCGAAACAGACGCTTTCATTTATCATTCCGGTAATCCGGTGGACATATTTAATTTGGTTTGGTGTTGTATTTTGCGGAATAGACGCTTTTACAACGTGTATGTAAAATATATATAACAAAAATAAATGTTAATGATAATTACTGAAATCTATAATAAGTATTTAATTGAACCCTAATTCCTTAAAATATAAATATAACCGCCTATAGTATAGATAGCTGTATATTCATAACTACATGCAGCTATCTATAGTCAACATGATATTGAGATTAGTTCAAGGGATACGATACCAGACGGCGACACTATTCATATTGGGTGACAAAAATCCTAGGAGATGGCTCTCTATTTCTGTATAATATATCTCTCTCTATGTTTTATATACTGGAAATAACTAAAGGGGGTATTCTTTAAAATCCTCAATACATTCTTCTGTATTCTTTTGATTTATTACATTAAAATTTGGGCTTCACGTTAAAAAAAGATTGTAACACTTATTTCCTATAAAATTAAACCTAGGTGTCTCATATTTTATGCTGCCGTTCAAAATGATATTTTTAATTCATATGGTAATATAAATATTGAGTTATTAAACCTTTAAATACGCTTAACTTAATTTAAATTTAATACTAAAGAGTCCTGTACCTATATTTAAAGTATGAAGAAATTGAATAAAACTAAATTTACGGATTTTATCGCGTTTTACTTATTTTTAATTCCCGACGTTTCGGGTGCTTTACAGCACACATGGTCACGGGGGGGGGACTGAGATGTTTCTGTATAAAATCCGTAAATTTAGTTTTATTCAATGTGTAGTGTTCGCGTAAATTTAAGAAATCATTATATGAAGAAATGTTTATTGAATATAAAATTTCATTTTTAAAGATTTTACTTTTTCCTCGCCGATTAGCACTTCAACACACTTATATTCATCACAATGAACACTATTATCCTCCCATTTTCACTGAAAATCTTTGAAAAAGCATAAATTTTTTAACAAACACAACAAAAACAAACATAAACATTGAAATGTGAAGTGAACTTGAATTGGGCTCGCACCCCATTCGCTAGTCGCTAACGCACTCCTAAACAACTTCAGGGCAAAGCCAGGCTTGTGGATCAATAGTAATTGCTATATAAACATTTCGTAGTTATATTTCATTAGATCGTCTTCTCGAAAGCCCGGTAAAAAGCCCACGCGTGCGAGGGAGAAAACCAATCGCTCAATTCAACTCTCCTTATATGTATGACAGCAGTATTCGTAAGGCTACGAGATCGAACAGAGTGCGCGGGAAATTTGAAACAGTTTAAGAGTTATTTTATTACTTGATATAATTGATTGATTCAACTTAATGAGGCAAGCCGGGCTTTTGGGCTTGTATAGAGGCTTCTTTCAAACTCTTCAAAATACTACGCCAAAAATATGGAAATTTTACTATACTTATATAATTAAAGATTAGGAATAGTTTTTCCCACTTGATGGCATAATTGATGATGTGGTAGAAATATTTATAATTAGTGTTGCAAAACTTCTTTTTCATCTGGCGAGTATCATGAAATAATATGTTATTTAGTTCGTGTCATAAGTTATTATTTCAAATAAAATATTGCTAGGAAAAATGACTTATTTTTACTTGAACTATCATGAACTATCATGTGATGATAGTGGTGTTTGATTTATTTGTTTTATTGAAAACTTGTAATTTGCGATGAATATGTTATTATTATTTAAAATGACTGTCATTGTCATAAGTTAGTCTGAGTACCTTATATCTCACAGAGCATAACTCTAATTTTAACATAATTAGGATAAACGAATTTGTTTTAAGCCTAGGGTAATTTAGGAAAAGTCACATGTTAGAACAATAATCAATTTATAAAATTTATATTAAAACTATTTAATGAAATCATTTTTATTAAGATTATTTTAACTTTAAATTAAAATCATTTGCACTTCTGCCTCTACGACCCTCTTTTCCTTATAAAAGTAAAAAGTAAAAGTTATAGCCTATATACGTCCCGGCCCTCTTGGGGGTTTTAAGGCAAAAAAGTGGCCACCGCGCTGCCTGTCGCGAACTTCACATGTCTTCGAAATATTTTTTTTCTTATTCTTCAGACATGCAGCATTTTTCCTTATGCTATAATAAATTAAGCATAGAAGAGATGCAATAAGTCACAAATTATATGTGTAATAAATAAATAGATAGATAAATATAAAATTCCTTACCATTCGTCTCCATAGCGAGGGACGTACACATTCCTAATTTGTCTTTTGGTAATTTCACTTGTTTCCGCAGCCCAAAGTCTCCCACGAGCCTTTCGTAATCCTTGTTTGTGTACGCCAATGTACTATCTACACCTGAAACGAAAACATTTTAACATGAAACTTAGATAACGCGATAAACTTTTTAATGTGTAACATCTTTCTTCTCGCTTTCCTGCAATCGGTGGGAGTGATTTCGTGAATAGAGACGGAAGTGTGTAACAGGAAGCCGAGAAAGCGTGAGCTATTTAGTTTAACTAATGAGCGCGCACAGTAGTAGTAGTAAACTATATTAACAAACTGTCGATAATAAGTGTCTAAACAAGTGGTACAATTCAAAATGTTGTACAACCGACTTCAAAAGAAATAAAATGAGAACATCATCAATGTAGTTGAAGTCAATTAAATTTTTTTTATAGGATAGGGTGACAAACGAGCACACAGTCCATCTGATGGTAAGTGGTTGCTGCGGCCCATAGACATCTACATCTATCCTCAAGTACGAATCAAAATGCAGATGCGTTGTCACCCGTGAGGACTAAGATAGAATGCCTCGTTTCCAGTGAAACGGGTCTCCGGTTCTCTACACTCACCATACGAAACACAGCAGCATTAAGCTACTATTTCACGCTGGTATACGCATTATTAAGAATAACTCAAAAACTGCTAGTCAGATCTTGCAAAAATTTATATGAGACCACACGAGAAGCACCTGGTTTCAAATGAAAAAAGATCGTCAAAATCGGTTCACTTAGAAAAAAGTCCTGAGATAACTAAAAGTCCTGTGATAAACAAATACAGTCGAATTGAGAACCTACTCCTTTTTTGAAGTCGGTTGAAAAGTGCAGATTATTGATAAGAAAAGCAAGTGCGTAATAATGAATAATTATTAGAATAAATTATATTTCAGTTTTTAGCTTTTATATTTCTGTCGCTACTCAATAGATATTTTAATTTTGATTAAAAAATACAAATAAACTGCTTTAAGCGCTTATGTTACACGTCATTTCTTTAAAGTATTTTAAATACAACAAACAAACAAAAACCTTATTACTATTACTTCTAGTAGTCCGATAATTTTATGTAAAACCTCAATAAAAACAGTTTGGAAAATCCAAGTACACGACTCATAATGCTCATATAATCGTAAAAAAATGTAGAAAAATTTCTAAATCAACAACAGAAAATGTGTTTTTTTTTTAATTTTACTATGTTAATATTACTGATTCAATTTTTTTTATTATTGGTAATTAAAAAAACTTTTTAACAGAATTATCTTAAAACGAACTCAGAAATCACTTTTACTTTATTATTACTTTAATTTTTTGGTATTTTACTCAGGAATTATCGTAAAAACTAGTGTTTTTAACCTGACTCGCTAATAAAAAAAATCTCATCAACTTTATTTCGTTTTCAAAAAGTTCTATCTATTCATAACCAGTATTTTAATTTAGCATTCACCAAAGTACACCTTCAGGTCACTCCATAAAGTCCAAAACGTATAAGTAAGTATATTTATATATAAATCCGACGTACTTTCAGCGAAACAATCTCTAATTACAAATCTGTGATTACAAATATAATAATAATATCTTGCCTTGGTCAAGTAAGTATCAAATTTAGTTTTTGGAATAATTTGTATTTCTACGGCGATCGATATTTTTCATCACGAGCCGCTGTAAACAAACGATATCATAACACACTCACAACGGCGGCCCGGAGACCCGGAGTGAGCCAAAGTTTATCTGTATTTAGTAAAATACATTACTACAAAGCACCGAAAATTTCAGAATTTCTTGGTCGCAAAAAATTAATTATAACTAAACAAAACAAAATAAAACAGCTCCTTCCCGGGCTAATGTAAATGATAGATAGATAAAGAGATTAAAAAACAGATTGAGTTGAACAATTCATATTTTCAAAAGTTATCGTGTTTACCCGAACATGCGGACTTGATAAATCTACAACATAATACACTTAAACCACTTTTTTAAATGTAAAAATAGAAGTTCAACAATCCTTTCTCTTTCTGACACACATTGTCTTTTAATATAATTTATATGTTCAATATGATTGTTAGCTATACGATTTCATGCGACAAAACGCTGGATTCTTGATTTTTAGGCGCTAGTAGAACGCGTTAAAGTTGCTTATGACCTTACGACCAAGATGAGATGTCTTATGTTACACATCATACCCGAATACCGTAAGGTTCGTACGTTTTTCTATATTTATGTCTGATATACTTTTATTTTAAGTTATTTTAAAAACAATTCCCACAATGAATGCACAATGAATGAAAAAATAGAATTAATTATAGAAGCAGAGATAAGAAAACAGATTACAGTAACAATTAGCCAAATAAACGGCTGATGATTCGACAAAGTTCTAGAAGTTAAGTTTGATAACAAAAACATAATATAATGTATATATAAGGCTATAATATAAGGCTTTGCATTATATCATGATTTTTTTACATTTATGTAATTATAACGTGAGAAGTAGAAAGCTTAACATACTGGGGCATATCTTTCTGTTACATTTAAAATAATAATATAATATTTTTTTTCTATTCTTTCATTCTTTATTGAATTGGCGGATGATAATCTTGAATAAATATCATTTCAGTAATATTTTGTAATATAATTTATCAGATTTTATAATTGTAACTAGATTCATAAACTAGAAACATGCACTAATTAATACATATGTTTATAAATATCTAAATTAATAAATCCACAGTTTACAATATCTTACCAAACAGATATTTAGCGACCCGTTTTTTCGAGAGCGTAAATTCGTCGTTCATTAGAATATGCAGGGTGATAGAGTTCTCCATCAGGTTGTGGTAAATTGTCGAGTAGTCCAGCTGTAAAATAATAAGTGGCGAATTAAAATAATCAAGTATAATTACTGAAGTCCCATTTTTAAACTATTATAAGCTAGTGCTGGATCACTATCCCACCTGATGGTAAGTAATGATGCAGCCGAAGATGGTGAAACGCACTTAACCAAAAGCTTATACACAAATTCTGTCCAAGGAAAGAAAACTGTAAGGTCTTGATAGAATCAGGCGTTACTTTGCGGAAATCCATTATAATAAAGATATTGATTAATTTGCAACCTTCCGCCAACTAAATACAATGATGTGTCTTATCTGGATTGAAGAGCACCTCCCGCCCTCCCTCAATTGCATGCACTAATCCCGTCACCACTGATCCCAGCACCACTACTCCCACCACCACTACACAAACATGTATACATGTATTATCGTCGATGGTGTGTCTTTCCTGGAATAGTGGTGTTGGAAGTAGTGGTGTCGGGAGTAATGGTGTTGGGAGTAGTGGTGCTGGGACTAATGGTGACGGAATTAGTGCACGCAATTAAGGGAGGGCGGGAGGTGCTCTTCAATCCAGGTAAGACACATCATTGTATTTAGTTAACGGAAGGTTGCAAATTAATCAATATCTTTATTACTGTAGGGTCTAACAAAACATTATATTAAACAATGCAGAGGCCCATGTCCAGCAGTAGACATTTTTTTAAAGTAATTTAATTTGAAACATTGAATTTTTTTTCCATTTCTCATACCTCTAAAGTATATTTAGATACGAAATACGAATACCTACTCCAGAGACTGCTTGGCACTGGAAGCCCTCTAGTGGCAGTGAGATTTTAGCTGTGAACTTTGGGGTGGTTTTGCCAGTTACGATAAGACCTTACCTCAGGACTTGATGGAGTAACCTGAAGGTGTAGTTCGGTGACTAATACTGCAGCTCCTCGACGAGTAGAACTAAGTGTGCCGAGTTTGTGCTAGTTTTGTCAGTTGTGATGAGACCTTATCTCTAGTCTTGATGGAGTGACCTGAAGGTGTAATTCGGTAATTACTACTGGAACTCCTGGACTAGTAGAACTAGGTGTGCCGAGTTTGGGCTCGTTTTGTTAGTTATGATGAGATCATACCTCCGGTCTTGATGGAGTGATCTGAAGGTGTACTTTAGTGATTACTATAGGAATCCCTGAACGTGTAAGAACAGGTAAGCGCTGAGTTTGGCTCGTTTTGTTAGTTATGATGCTTAGCTCCAGACCTGTATTATGTCTATCACAGTCGCGTGTAGTGCGAGCAGCAATACAAGCAGTGCGAGCGGGGATACGCACGTGCATGGCGGTGGCGCGCGGCGCAGCGAGGCGCGTGCCCGTGTAGTGCGGAGCGGTCGCAGCACAAGCAGTGCAGGCGGGGTACGCACGTGCATGGCGGTGGCGCGGTGCGGCGCGGCGGTGTAGTGCGTGCAGCGCGTGTATTAGTGTAGTGCACGGAGCGCGTGTAGTGCGGGCAGCAGCACAAGCAGTGCAGGCGGGGTACGCACGTGCATGGCGGCGGCGCGACATCGTGCGCACGGCAGCAGCAGCAGCGCGCGTGGCGCGGCGGCGCGCAGCGGTAGAGCGCTCGCGAACCGCAACGCCTCGAACACGTCCGCCTCCGCACCACTACCCTCGCTTCCATTCCCTTTCTCTGCAAGACACAGTACAATAGACTACTAGAATAGAATCCGTAAAAACTTGTATGATTTAAAAGACCAAGAAGCTCTTCAATAGGGTCAAAAAAAGCTAAAGAGTCTTTGCCTCGCAATGCAAGACTGCACAAAATGTTATAGAAAGCTAAACCTAGTAAGACCAGGCTTCTTAAAAAGACTCATTGTACCTTCACTACTAGTGAAACAGGAACATTGGAGAAACTAACGTTAACCCATTTCCCAGTGTCACAGAAAACCTTGTAAAGAAAAGAAGAAGGCCTTGTAAATGAGGACTTGTATAGGGCAGCAAAGTATATGTAGTAATAAGGTAGTATGTTTAACGAAAATTTGATTAATCACACACACACACTTATATATATATATATATATATATATGACGGCGCGTTTGATTATTTCGAAGATTTTTAGGTGGTCGATATCGCCATTTGTCGAAGTAATCGTTTGTCATTCACTCTGCGAACGCAACACCAAGGGCTAGTGTAAGTAGCAGGAGGGACGAAGTGGCAGTTCGCATCACATCGCAAAATAAGCATTACGTTCTTGGTGGAGTGTTTAACGATCAGTGACTTAATAACTTTTGTTGTAATACCCTAATTATATTTAGTGTGAATTACGTCGTTTAATCTCCTTGCCCGATTACCCACGTCTAATTAAAGTCGAGTATGGATCCAGAGGAAATAGCAGACCAGCCTGACGTCCCTTTTTTTTTTTTTATATATATAAATATAATATTTCATTTCATTACTAAGTGGAGAAAGTGGCAATATTAAAACTGATAACTACGGGAAATAAAATAGACTTTTGGCTGTAGGTGACAACTTATAATAAAATTTAATAAACTGTTAGAAAATCAGGGATAGTTTAAATGTGTGAGTGTATGAACTATTGTAATTTTTTCCACGTGTGATTTATGTTTACTAGTGTGTGATATTTGATGCGAACTAGCTGTTCCCTGCGACTTCATCCACGTGGAATTTATTGATTGAATTTCATGGGTTTCAACGTTTTTGCGTGGAACTCTAGTTGTTTTTGTAAAATAAAAGAAGCCTATGTTATTCTTTATAATATCAGGTGTCTGTCAGTAAATTCTCTTCAAAATCTGTCCAGTCTTTTCGGAGATAAGCCAAAACAAATAAATTGACAGATAAAAAATTTAAAAATTGTTTTGTGTTATAAGTACCGTTTTATGTGAGTAGTCATGCTACAGCTATATTATGGTTATAGTAATGGGTCGGTTCGACCGAGGAAGGACCACGCTCTCATAGAATACTAGCGTAAAGCAACAACTCAATGCTGCTGTGTTCTGTACGGTGAGTGTTGAGATCAGGAGAACCTTTTTACTGGAAATGAGGCATTTCATCTCAGTCCTCAGGGGTGGTAACGCATCTGGATTTTGGTTCTTAATCGAGGATTAATGTAGATGTGTATGGGCCCCAGCATTCAATTACTATTAGGTGGATTGTGTGCGCTAGTTTGTCACCCAATTTCTATTAAAAAAATTTTTATGTATTTAGTAAAAGGCTGTTATTTTAATATTACAAACAGATAGAGTGTGTTGAATTGAATTTATTTGTATAGATATAGATGTGTTACCAATGTGGAAGGCGTCGAAGTGCGCGGGCACGGCCACCGCGTCCGCGAACAGGCGGTTGCGCACGTAAAGCGCGCGCGGCCGCCGGAATACGCCGCGCCCGCCGTACACCACTACCGCGTACCTGCACGTACACGCCACACATCATCCTTTAATTTATGTCATGTCAGCACGGTCCTGAGCAACTTGCATACATCGACTTTCTGCATGTCGTACCACGTCGTCTCATTCCATATTGTGAAGGGTCGCCCTACACTTCGCCTACCTCTTAAACTTTGACTTATTAACAAAGACATCTATATATACTGCTACAAAAACAATTCAGAATAAAACTGTAAATCACACGAACAGGTAACTGGTACGGTACGTATGCCACGCAGTTGTATATTCATTTACGACAATCACTGTTTCTAAGCAAATACAAAATTAGGTTACATACTTATCTAAAACCAATTTCAATCACGTAGACAAAGTGCATACATAAACTGCCAGAGACAAACAAAAGGAACAGTTTATATTATGTATTAGATTGTCAAAAACTATGTTCACGGCTTACAAAAAGAAAATTAATCTTCTCGGCCGTTCGTAGTCGACTAAAAGAGTAACTGTAAATTGACCATAAAGCCCGTCTAGTAACATACAATGCCCATAGCAATCTTTGGTAGTTAAATATACTGGAACCTGAAACCCTTATACTCGTGACCTTTTAAACTGTTTGGAAAAATATAGGTAGGATGTAGCATGTAAACGGAATAGAAGCCTATGGCACTGATATTTAATAAAAAAATTGGTTGTCCGTATGTATGTAATGTATTAATGAAATGATTGCATACTTTCGAGGCATACTACGAGAGATAGATGCGGCGTAAGCCGAACGCTCAAGCCGATCGTGCCTTTCGCTCGCTCGGCAGCGCTCTCGCTTCGATCGTAACGTTACAATAACTCATCCTTTTGCGTGCTTGCAGCCGCCGTTCATCGATTTATTAGACGTTGTCACGTCAAAAATAAAAACAAAAATTTTGAATTAAACAAATAAAAAAATAAAATTTATCAAAAGCGGTCACTAATCAGCTGGTAATCCTCAAGACAGCTCATGTGTTGGCAGTTTATAATGGACTCCATTATTTTTTAGAACAAGGAAATGATGGCGATAGACCTATAGTTCGAAGGGTCTGAGTGGTCGCTTTTTTTAGGGATCGGGTGGACCAAATCTGTCTTACATGAATTCAGGACTACGCCTTGGGAGTAGGAGTACTGGAAAAAAAACGCGTTACAACCGGTGCCAACTCCGTAGCACACATCTTCAGTAGAATGGGAGGGACTCCATCAGACTCACTCGACGCTTCGCTCGCGCGCTAATTCACACGGACTAATAATCGGCTACGTCATATGATATTGCACCGTAACGTACTATTCATTTGAATTGTTTACAATAATTTTAAAGTACTTACCTATTATCAGAGAAGCCACTTCCCTGTAGTTTGCTATCGAACGCCTCTATGAACAGATCTATATTCTTCGCTTTTCGTATGTTCTTGTTGCACTGCTCGGCTTCTATAACGAATACCACGTCTGTCGAATTGGGCGGACTCTCTAACTGAACGAAAGAGCCTTCTTCAACCACGTCCCCTTGTGCTGTCGTGCATCTGTAAGTTATGAGGTGTTTTTATTGTAATTTGATTCCTGGCTGTTTAAAAAGAACCAATTTTCTTCAGTATGTTCTCTCTTGAAACGAAGAAAAGCTCGATTTCCTCTAAACATTGCCAACCGTACGCACTCTGTCATCCATGGGGCTAGGGGTCGCTTCAGTCTAACCTTTGAACTGGAGCATAAGTATCATAAAGGCTGAGAATATTATGGTTAAGAATAGAGACTTTATCGTCAACAGTAGTTGCTGCAATAAATGAGGCTAGATCGACACTAACAGCGTCATTCATTAGCTTGTCAAAATCTAATTTAGTCATAGAATACTGTAATACACAAAAGAATGGCTGTCAACTTTATTTTGTACGAGGATTGGCGTCGCCAAACCAGATTCGCTATGTTGACACACTGAGTAAATTTACACATTTTAGACTTTTGATTAATGTTCAAGATCATCATTAAAAAAATCGTTTACATTTCAATACATATTTATTTGTAAATAGGGTTCAATTTGGCATTTTCTAAATTATTTGCATGCGAAATTCGAAAACGATTGTAACGCCAAGACACATCTCGTGTTGACAGTTATACGTGTGAATTGACGTGTTAGTGACATTCTAATGGCTACGCGGGCTTCGCCCACTCCCCCGTTCTAATATGTATGTATTATAGTATTCTATGATTTTAGTAAAGCTGCGCAGGCTGCGCAGCTGTCATTTATTGATAAAATATAAGCTTACAGTATATACAACCAAATCGCTTATATCTATACTAAATTTACAAAATGAGATAAAATACACAAGAAAAAAAAACACCAATTATTAAATATTACCATACACAATATAAATTACAGCCACAACAGTATAATGAGATCTATTTACTTCATCATAAGTTAAACTTAATTAACTAAACATATTCTATTCTTCTATCTTACAAAGTTGTTTAAGAATATTAATACATTTTTATACATTGCACTGGGTTTGTCAAAAAATATATCTGCGTCTGGATTGGCCGCTTTTAGAGTGTACGTATTGATTGGAAGCATAAGCGTGTACGAAGCATTAATTAAGTCATGACATGAGATGCCTAAAGCATGTAATAATTAACTCCCCTCGTTCCAAAAAGCTGCTTTCAAGAGGTCTCGATGAAATCGACATCGAGTCCTACAAATAAAAACTCAGAAGAGGCAGAATAGCAGGAAAGTGATGCTAAAACAATTTTATGAGGAATTGATGCGTGTAGGTAGATGGCTACACCAACTCCACCTTTTCCAAACCGATCATTCCTAATAACTACAAAGCCGGGTAGGGGATATAAAGTCAGAAGAAAGATTCAGCTAACGGTAAAGAAGGCTTCAGCCAACTTTCCGACACTAATATGACATGAATATGCTCGGGCGAAAATGAAGTTTTGAGTTCAGTATAGTGGCTCGGGATACTTCGAGCATTTATATGACATATGTTCAGAGAGTTGTTAAAAGAAGTAAAAATTCCTTTGGGTAGTTGGTGTAAATCAAGCGCGCTGTCGTTGAAAGAATCGTCACAAGAGTAAAATGACAAGGCAGAAGAATCATTTCGTTTAGAGCTAAACGTCTTAAAATTATATATCATTTAATTTCAATGAATGTATTATCATTCCTAATTAAGCAATATAACCCCTTCAAATTTAAAACGATATTTTCACAATTATTTCTTTTGCGGCAGCAAAGCCGCATATATACCAGCTAGTATATAATAAATATGAGCATAATAAGCAACTAACTGCACGCAATGGTCGGGTATGTGGGTGGGCACGTGTTGTTGTGCGCATAGCTCGAGGTACGCGTTCGCCAACGCGCATGCGTCGATTCCGCGCATGCATTCTTCGTGGAACGGCTGAGCGTCGATCTGGAACACAGATACAATAATTACAAATATATACATAATATTGTCGAATATTCGGAGATTCTTTCTTCAAATGTTCAATGAATTCAAGAAAGTAACTGCTTTTCCGAAGGCCTAATATTCATCAAGCGATCTGTAAGGAGCGCAAAAGGCGTATACAGGTTTATTTTGCAATGGTATAAGCCTGTATAAATTTGCAGAGAAGATTCAAAATGAAGTGAAGAAAATTAATTTAAAAAAATCTCAAACAATCTGCATTTGAATCGCACACAGAGGAGCGCGCATACACTTAGTTGTTGCCCATAAATCACATTGCATTTAGGATAATCAGTATCTTCCTGATAACAATTCAAAATAATAAAAAACTGCGTTAGCCTACAAGTCTACCCAAGCGTACTACCTAACTATGGCAAAATCCACTCCATAAAGCAAGCTATGGAGCAGGCCTATGCTCGGTAGTGGACTTTACAGACTAATGGATAATAGATGGTTGTGTCTTTGGGATTTCTAACCAAATGTAAGATAGGTAGTTGCAGTTTGTTGTTGTTAGGTTACTAGGTAGCAATTTCAAGTGATTTTGATACCAACATTAGTACTTACATGTTCAAGTTAAACAAAACACAGTAAGAGGTTTATTTCAATGTTATTTGAAATAAAACTCTTACTGCGTTTTTATTATTACAATAACCGTCAAAATTTGCAGAGAATGTTTAGAGTAAGCAGTATAGGCCATTGGTGAAGATAAATTAATTATAACAAATCTCAAACATTCCGTCCTTTTTAAAAAAAAAAACATAAACACTCACGCCTGTCACCCAGAGGGGTAGGCAGAGACTACGGACTTCCATTTGGCACGATCCTGACATACCTCTTTCGTCTCATTTACATCCATAAATCTACGCATACATGTTCGTCGGTTAAGGGTACTTCTAACGTGGCCCATTTTCAAAATAACACCAATTTGGTCGATAAACTTTTTTCTAGGGCGTCCCTTCCCGACTCTGCCATTCACGTCTGCCATATAAATTTGCTTTGTCACTCTTTCCTCATTCATTCTCTCTACATGACCAAACCACCGAAGCATTCATTTCTTAATCCTGGTCACAACATCATCTTGCATACCACATTTATCTCTTATCACGCAATTTCTCACCCTGTCATTCAGATTCAACCCTAGCATACTCCTTAAAGACCGCATTTCTACAGCATTTATTCTACTTTCGTGCTTCTTCTGCCACACCCAGCCTTCACTACCATACATTAAAGTAGGGACTAACACAGCATTATGAATTACCATACGTGCCTTTTTTGACACATTCTGATTCTTCATAATAGAGTTTAGTGCCCCATTCACTCTATTCCCTGTATTTACTCGTCGTTCTATATCCTTATCATATCTACCATCCCTGCTAAATGCACATCCGAAATGCACAAACTCATCCACTTGCTCAATTAACTCTCCTTCTATTCTTATTTCACATACCGTTTTTCTTTCTTCTCTTTCAAAAACCATCACTTTCGTCTTACTTGCGTTCACTTTCATTCCCCTTTCTTTTAATGCCCAGTTCATTAATGTAACCATCATTTGCAACTCAGCCGCCGATGACGTAAATATGACTTGATCATCGGCATACAAAAGGCATTTGACGGTTAACTCGCCCATTCTTAAATCACATTCTTCATCTTTCAAAGTTTGCAAACACCTGTCCATAAATAGGTTGAACGGCCAAGGGGAAGCTACACAGCCCTGTCTGACACCTTTTTAGATGCCGACCAGTCCGAGTAGACCCCATTGATCCTGACACAAGCACTAGAGTCCCTATAGAGACCATAATGCCTGTATCAAACCAGCGCTCAACCCATATGAGTTCAGTGTTTGCCATAACACATTCCTGTCCACTCTGTCATAAGCCTTTTCCAAGTCCATGAACGCACAAAAAACTTTCTGGTTTTTGGTCAAAGTCTTCTCCGCAATCATGCGCATGGAAAAGACTTGATCTGCACACCCCATTCCCTTTCTAAAACCCGCTTGCACATCCCAAATTTTTCCATCAGTTTCTTTCATAACTCTTTCAATTAACACCTTAGCATACAGTTTACCCACAATACTAAGCAAGACGATACCACGGTAGTTTTTGCAATCCTGCTGTGACCCTTTTCCTTTAAATATTGGTACTATAACTGCTTTACACCAGTCATCCGGTACCCGTTTTAATTCCCAACATAAATTAAACAAGGTGTACAGCAGGCCTGCCACCACTCCCTCTCCAGCCCTTAGCATCTCATATCCAGCTGCCTTACCTGCTTTCATGCTTTTCATTGCTTTCATTATTTCATCTACACTTATCTCCACACCCCTTTCCACTTCTTTCGGAATTTCTAGTTCATTTAATTCAGACGACTATTCACTCACAAACACGCATTCAAAGTATTCCTTCCATCTGTTTAAATTCGAAACTTCATCATTCAGAATACATCCGTTCTCGTCTCTTATAGCATTAATTATAGGCAGTTTTGTATTTCCGCCGGCAGTTCTTAAGAGTTTCCAGAACATTTTTATATTAGCCTGGAAATTATCAGATATCATTCTTATCCGTTCTTTCTTTCTTTTTCCTTTCAACTAGTTCTTTTACTCTCTTAGTTAGACGTCTAAATTCTGCCTTTTTTCTTTTAATCTCATCATTCATACCAGGAGAATTACCAGCTTTGGTTGCTAGTAAATCTAACCATGCTTTCTTCTTTGATTCAACTTCCACCCGTACCTCATCATCCCACCACAACGTATTACTTTTCCTTTCATTTGTTCTCTTACTTACACCACATACTTCGGTGGCTGCATCCACCAAACCTTTCTTAATATTATCCCACACAGTATTCAAGTCTAAATCGTTCATACACAACTTATTCAAACATCTAATATTTTCTCTCAGTCTACATTTATACTTCTCTTTCACATCTTCATCTTGTAACTTCTCTATTCTTATACGCTGTAACGCAGTAGTAGACACAGATGTCCGATGCCGCCAACGCTTGAAAAGACCATTAATTCGACATAATAACAAGTAATGATCCGTCCCTACGTTGGACCCCCGGTAAACCCTTGTATCTATGACTGCGCTCCTCATTCTTTCATCTACAATTATGAAATCTATCATGCTTCTATCATCACCTCTTTCCCACGTATACATGTGAATCTTCTTATGACGAAAGAAAGTATTCGTCACAAAAAGATTCTTTTCCACACATACGGTGAGGAGGTCTTCATCATTCTCATTTATACTTTCATCACCAAACGTTCCCAATATCCTTTCATAACCAGACCCCAACCCTTCCATTAAAGTCTCCTAACATAATAATATTTTCATTTTCCTTACATTTTGTCAACACCATCCTTACCATGTCCCAAAACTGCTCTCGGATGTAAGTGGGCTTAGACATGTCTGGGGCGTACACCCCTAGCAGGAACAGCTTCTTTAAGCCCACTTTCGTTCGTATCCATAGCAGCCTTGGGCTTACACATTCATACTCTTTCACACATTGTCCCATTCTTTCTGAAAGGATGAAACCGACTCCCTTACATTCCCGTTCGGTCTCGTCTACACCAGACCAATACGCGGTATACGTGTCATGTGCAGTGGCAGCCTTTCCCTTTCGTTTCGTCTACACATAACACATCTATTCCTCTGTCATTCATCATTTCGCATACTTCATCCATCTTATCATTCATTGCTTCACATACATTCAGCGTAGCCAGACGAGCTTCCGCAATCCACTTTTCGCCCCTCCGGGAGACAGAACGTGACGGGTGGCGAACCTCGTTGCTGGTTTTTCTCCCGGAGATTCAGTCCTTTTAATCTTTTAAATTTAAAATGCACGGTAGTACATTAACTGATTTTACTGCGCACGCACACATTCGTAAGGGTCGATCGGTAGGCAAAAAACGTTTTTGCCAATAAATCGCATTCAATTTGGGATTATTTCAAATAAAAGTAGAAGACTTTTACTCATATTTTTAAAAACTGCAATAACGGTATATCATTATTTATAAGTATACAAGCTAGCCAGGTAGACGTCGTTCTGCCTTTTTCGACGGCCCTTTGTCATGTCCTATTAAAAAATCCTTAAATTCGCAAAAAAAAATGTGGGTCGTCTACGGGCAAAAAACTATCCTATCTCTCAAGTCAGACCAAACTGCACACGGTGTGCAAGTTTGATTAAAATCGGTTAAGTAATCTAGGAGTCCATCGCGGATAAACAACGTGACACGTAATTTATATATATTAAGATTTGAACTTGAGTTTAAATTTTGGTTACTCTTTAAAAAATAACCCTGTATATATATCTTCAACTTTATTTTATTTTAAATAAGCACATTGTTGAGTAATTCGAATTAACCATTCAACGAATTTAACACAAAATATTGAAGAACAGGTATTTGTAATATCTACACGAGGTTTTGGGGTGTGGACTTTTTTCTCGTGTATATATCCGTTTGTAAAACACTTTCAGTAGAAAGAAAAAAAAGCGTGCGAGCTTTCCTTCACAGTAATCGGGTATGATATTATTGTTACGAGCTTAGGGTTCTTGACAATAAAAACTGCCGATTAAATTACCAAAATTGATACTTTAATATACTTTATTTTGCTCCGAAGTCTTCATTTGAATCGCCAATTCAATACCGCCCCGGTCGCGCTCCTTACAGACTTTATATAGGACCTTTTCCACCGAAAACATCTAGAATGTTCGAGTAGATTGTCGAAAGTTCTAGCAATGAATCCTCGAGAAAGTCCTCGCCACTAGATGGGGCTAGTAGGAAAGTTCTAGAAAGATCTTGACGCTCCTATTTCTGCTACATGATACTAGATGGCGCTAATAACCACCCGCCACATACCGGGCATTAATTATGGTGCGCAACATTATGTAACATCTTAAATCTCACCTTGGTTATAAGCAACATTAACATTATGTCCCGAAAGCTATTTGTTGTTTTTATGAAAACTAAAAATATCATTTGAGCATAGACAGAAACTAACCTCAAAATGTATAAAATTATTATTATCATATTACAATTTTATTATCAACAATAAATACATTTATTAATATAGCTTACAGATTTATATTAGTTTATATAGCAGCATACTTTACTACCACCGCGCGAGCTCATTGGTTAAATCAAATAGTGCGTACTTCCCGGCTTCCTGTTACACACTTCCGTCCCTTTTTACGAAAACACTTCCACAGATTGCGGAAAAGCGAGAGGAAAGATGTTACACATCAAAAATTCTAGAGACAATATTTTTTTTAAAGACAATATAAACAAAAACACTCACAACTGTGAAGCAGGGATGCAGCGGGGACACCTTGTTGCTGAAGAACTTATCACATTGTGTGTCGTTACTGAGTTGCCGGGTGTACGCGGGTGCAGCGCCAGTCCGCAGACTCCATCCTTTGGCAAGTGTAGGCACGTTGGCGTTTAACGTTCCGTTCGGAAGCTGTTGTTCATCGTACTGCTCGTTGTTGTACGTGCCCAGTAAGCCGCCCAAAGTGGCATAGTGCCAACCTGTTAAGATAATTCAGGGCTGTCGAATTACGAATGCGACACACAACTCTTATTATGCGGGTATGTAGGTAGAATAATAAATAAAAATATAATCACAAATTGAATAAAAGCTTTTTTCATATATCCGACAATTAATAAATGGTTAGAATGGTTAAGACTATTTTAAATAAATAGGCATATTAATTTCTCAGTATTTGTTCGTTAACAAATAGGTTCCATATTGTAGTAGATATGTAATCAACTTTGGTTTCCATATGATACAAACAGAAATAAAAAACAACCTTTTTATTTTAAAGCAATCATAGTCAGACCATTATATAATTTTAAATTTTTAATTACAATGGTTTTTGCTGTATAACGATTAAAATTTACATATCTTCAGTTTCGGAAACAAGAATTTTATTATATTTACAAAATCGACATATTATAATAAAGTTAATTTTTATATGTGGCAACTTTTTCCACTTCTCTTAGGGTAGAGAACGCCACAAGATAAAGTTTGTCAATGGTAACCAGTAAAACCTTACAGTAAATAAATAAATAAAAACCACTAACCAGAAACTTGCAGCTTGCAAGTGCGGAACAGGAGATTGCATTGAACGTCCAGTTCACTGCGGCCCTCTATTATCAGCAAGTCTGCTTGTCGGTCCACTAGCCATTCCTCGACTACAGCTGGCAAGGTCAGAGGACTGTCGCGGCCCAGCGACACTTGCTGTTGGCAAATTAACACAGAAAATATAATTATTTTCAGCTCATGTGTAATGAAATCTCAAACATCTTGATATTACATAAATACTGGTTGAAATAGTCGACTACGGAAAATCTTTAAAAAAGAAATTTGTGTGATATAGCGGAAGAGATTTCACAATATCATAGATGCTATATTTTTTTTTTATAGAAGAGGGGGGCAAACGAGCATGTGGCTCACCTGATGTTAAGTGACTACCGCCGCCCATGATCAACCGCAAACCAGGGGAATTGCAGGTGCGTTGCCGGCCCTTTAGAAAGGAGTAAGCTCTTTTCTTGAAGGTCCCCAAGTCGTATCGGTCCGGAAAAATCACCGGTGGTAAATTATTCTACAGAGAGGTTGTACGCGGAAGAAAACTCCTTTTGAAACGTACAGTGGTGGACCGCCAAGCATCCAGATGGTGTGGATGATATCGGGACGTTTGCCGTGTAGTGCGTTCACGAAATTTGGCGGCTGGGATTAATCCGAACAATTCCTCAGAGCACTCCCCGTGATAGATGCGATAAAATACGCAAAGAGATGCAACATCTCTTCGCAGCGCCAGTGAATCGAGCCGATCGGAAAGCACTCGGTCGTCGACGATTCGAGCCGCTCTGCGCTGGATGCGGTCAAGTGGAAGGAGCTGGTACTGGGGAGCCACAGCCCAGAGATGGGAACAGTATTCCATGAGCGGCCGAACCTGCGCCTTGTAAAGTTGCAGGCGGTGTGCCGGCATGAAATACTGTCCCGCTCTGCTGAGCACGCCAAGCTTTTTAGAGGCCAATTTGGCCTTCCCTTCCAAGTGACCACGAAACTGCACGTCACTCGATATGTCGACGCCGAGGATTCCGATACTGGCTGAGGCAACAAGGGGAGTGCCTTGAAACTGAGGGGATACGACAAAGGGGTTCTTTTTAGCGGTTAACGCGCAAACTTGTGTCTTCTGGGGGTTAAACTGGACTAGATTTAGTCGCCCCCAATCCGAGACTCTGTCCAGTAGAGACTCGACTTCAGACACAAGTTTGTCCCGGCACTCAGAGACGTTTTCCCGAGAAATATTGGCTCGGCCGGTGTAAAGAGCATCACCAGTGCTGTCATCTGCATAGCAATGAATGCTACGGGTTTGCAACATATCATTGATATGCAGAAGAAACAGCGTTGGCGATAGCACGCAGCCCTGTGGAACACCAGCATTAATAAGCTTGCAATCGGAGCTTGCACCGTCTACAACGACCTTGATGCTCCGATCTGCAAGAAAACTGGTGATCCAATCGCACAATTTCTCGGGAAGCCCATAGGAAGGGAGCTTCGAAAGAAGCGCTTTGTGCCAAACCCGATCGAAGGCCTTCGCAATGTCCAAACTAACGGCCAATGCCTCCCCCTTGGACTCTACTGCCTCCGCCCATCTGTGAGTTAGGTAGACCAGAAGATCACCAGCTGACCTACCACTGCGAAAACCGTATTGGCGGTCACTAATCAGCTGGTGATCCTCAAGGTACCTCATGAGCTGGCAGTTTACAATGGACTCCATTGTTTTGGAGAACAAGGAGGTGATGGCGATAGGCCGGTAGTTGGACGGGTCTGAGCGGTCGCCTTTTTTAGGGATCGGGTGGACGAAAGCCGTCTTCCATGATTTTGGGACTACGCCTAGGGAGTAGGAGTACCGGAAAAGACGCGTTAAAACCGGTGCCAACTCTGGAGCACACGTCCTCAGCACAATTGGGGGGATTCCGTCAGGCCCACTCGACTTATGGATGTCCAGGGAGAGGAGTGCTTTGCGAACCGAGCGCTGAGTGAACTGCACTTCCGGCATGGAGCACTCACACTGCGGGATGGTCGGCGGCGTACTACCCCCGTCATCGAGAGTCGAGTTAGACGCAAAGAAAGAGCCTAGAAGATCGGCTTTCTCCTTTGCGGTGTGGGCCAGTGAGTCGTCCTCCCTGTGCAGAGATGGAAGAGATGGCTGACAGAAATTCCCCTGGACAGCCTTGGCGAGAGACCAGAATGCACGGGTTCCAGAAGGAAGACGAACTAGTCTCTCGCCAATTCTGCCTATGTGCTCTGACTTTGCCTTGGCAATGACTCTTTTGAAGGACCTAGAGGCGGAATTATACTTCTTTTTTAGAGCGCTGGTGTTTACATCCCTGGACGCTGATGCGTCAGCCCAGGCTCGGTAGCACTCCTGCTTATAGCATGATGCTATTTTACAGGAGCGACCAAACCATGGGTGAGATTTGCCTCCAATGGGCACCACAGAGGAAGGAATAAAACGTTCCATACCCTGAAGTACCACATCAGTGACAGAATCCGCAACAACGTTGGGATCGTCCGGCGAGAAGCAAACCCGCCCCCAAGGGTAGGATGCAAAGAAAGACCGCATCCCATCCCAATCGGCTGACCTATAGTGCCAAACACGGCGGCAGCCTGCAGAATGCAACCGCGATTTCAGCGTGAGTGGCACCACACTCCGGACAAGACAATGATCCGAGGAGCCTAAAGGGGCGTCGACGGAAATCTGATATCCGTCCGGGTGAGAGGTCAGCAGAAGGTCCAACAGGGAAGGTGCATGATCCTCCACATCTGGAATCCGCGTAGGCGAAGTAACCAGTTGTGTCAGACCATATGCCTAGGCAAAATCATGAACAGATCTCCCCGCATGATCGGTTAAACGTGAACCGAGCCATTCGGCGTGATGAGCGTTAAAGTCGCCGAGGATCACGATCTCTGCGGAGGGGATCTGCTGTAGCAACGAATCTGCAGCCATTTGGACGTGGTCGAAGTGTCGGTCTGTTTCGGCATTACCGCTATGGGACCTATAGAGGCACCCGTAGACGCGCGGATGGTCGTCGCTGTCTACGCGTAGCCAAAGGATGGACAGGTCCGAACCTTCAAGTCTGCCGAGGCGTCGAGAACAGATGTCCTCTCTGACGTAAACGCAAACTCCAGCCCGAGGCACAAAGGAGTGTTCCAGTTTGTACCCCGGGCAGGAGAGATACGAGACATCAGCCGGAAAGGACACCTGAGTCTCGGTCAGAAAGAGCAGAGCCGGCCTCGCGGTCTCGAGATGGTAGTGGACGGCGTTTAGGTTAGAGTGAAGTCCCCTGATATTGCAGAAATTCACGAACAGCGTGGCAGGGGTCGCCTTGGTCTTGTTGCTCCGTTTGCCCCGAGCAGTTTTAGTCTTGAGCGGAATTTAGCCCCCCCCCCCCAGAATACGCGGGGCAGCCTGAGCACCCACGCTCAGAAGTGGAGAAACATGGTCGTGGATGCTCAGCGAGGGATTCTCCAGAGGTACTGGTACCCTCCTGGGGTAGTCTATCATTTAATTCCGCTACCATGTTGATGGGGGGGGGGGGGGGGGATTTGGGCCTCCGGCCACCTGCACTCACCAGACGAAACGCGGAAGCAGAGCTTCCACTTCACGCCGGTATTCTGTGAGGTCGTGGTACCACCCCGCTTTGAGCCGGCCCATACGTGCGACAGCAAAGCTGCCGCGTGGCTCTACCACTGCTAATTAAAATTATAAAAGTTACAAGTTTATATACGTCTGTTGCACATAGGCTCTTTCTTATTAGTGAGTGGATTTTAGGACAAGGATGTATTCACTGCGCTACCCCAATGCATGTTGGCGGACTTCACATGCCTTCGATTTTTTTTAGTTTCTCAAAATGCAGGTTCGCTTGCGATGCTTGATGACGAGCTGGCGCAGTGGCCATCAGCCGAAAAGCGGGCCGCAATTTGTAAAGAATTTAGGGACCGTACTTTTTTATCAACTCCACAGACTATAAGTTTGTATCTTGACAATGTTCCCCCCCCCCCCGCACTATGGGACTAGACGGTGCGTTCCATCTCATAAATGATTCAGACAAGTCTTTGTTACTGCCCCGAACCCTCTAAATGTACAAATACCGATTTCAATGGTATCATCGGGGATCAAACTTGGTTGGCTTTAGTTTTAGTACGGTTGATAAATTTTTTAAATAATGAATTAAAATAAAAAAGTTTCCCAATTATGGAACTTAGATGTAGGTGTCCTTATCATAAAGCTCGGTATTTCGCCTTACCTCCTTGTACAAGTCGACGTATATCAGGTTCCTCTTGGTCAGCACGACCAGATCGTACAGGCCTTGTTCGTTGCTCTCCATCAGCACCGTGAAGTTGTTATTGCGGTAGTCCTTCGTGAGCAGGAAGGTGCCGCCTTCACATATAGTGAACACTTGCTTATCGAATGTTACGAGAGTTCCTTGCGCTGTCATCATTGCCATCCCTGTGAAGCGTACGTTTCAATGATATTTAGAAAAAAAGAAAGAAAAAAGAGATACTTATTTGGCCATTTCTTAACTAATTAGCACTAAATACTAAATACAAACATTATGTTTAGGTATTCTTATAGGCAGACTTAATTATACACTTACAATGAAAAATAAATCATTTTGACAAAGCAGATAGATACAAAATACATTAAAAAATGAACAGCTAACTAAAAAAACTTTTATGTTAATGGGAAATAGTCCAAATAGGACTGCCACTCAGGAAATGCTAAGATCTGTTATCCTAGCCCTGATTTTCAGTAACTACCTTAAGTACATTATATAGATACACACACAAAATATAATATACAACATGTAACAAATTTCGGTTATTGTTTCAGATATACTTAAAATAGTAGTCACGTTCAGCAGATCTTATACTTAAAGAATAAACATCTCCCCCATTTCCTAATATCGCAAATAACAATAGATAGGCAGATGCTGGTGCTATCTACGGATTAGGGAGTTTAGACACTTCAACTGCTAAATTTAATGCGAGCTTTAGAAATCTACTTAAAAATTTCTAATCAGCTATTCTATTAGCCCTTCGAGCCGGATTCCACTCGAAATTTTAAGACAACTATAGTAACTTCTTCTCCAATATTACTAAAGCTTTGGTTTCTTGATCGTAACGCACAAAGCTGCATACCGCAGGTCATACGATTGTGTTCGGCACCACATGCTGCATACCGCATCTCATGAAACAAACTTTCAAAACAATAAATATTTTACTAGCCCTAAATGTTATTGATGTAAGAATTTTAGAGATAGTGTTTTGCCATCTGTTGGAAAAATGTTGTTGGGATATCACCGCTGCATGATTTTTTTTGATTTATTACAATAATCACAGAAAGTGGTGAAGTAATGAATTTTCTAATGCCATCAAACAAATTAGTTATTTTGCTAGCCATAACAACATCCTAGAGTAAAGCTGGTCAACGCTGCAGTTTCATATAAAAATCATTTTCTGTCCGTTAGTCTCGCTAAAAAACTCAAAAATGGGTTGAATGATTTTGGTGAATTTTTCTTGTGTGTGTTTGAGTAGGTCCCTGGACTTAGATTCACATTTGGTCCCGAGAGGTGGCGCTGTTGTAGAGAAATCACCCATGCGATGCCGCGTGGATCGCTAGTTTTAAATAATAATTAGATGAAATCTACTCACCGGTGAAGGGTGGCACGACATTATCAAGGTCCATATAGGGTCGTATCTCGTAGTAGTAGGACCAGATACTCCTGTTGGAAATGAGCCAGTCGTCCATAAAGTCTCTAACAGCTCGGTACTCCGCGATCTCAGAGAAGTCCGGCGTGCGGTTGAACGCATGCCAAGACATCGGCAGCTTCTGCTCTAGAAGGATTTCGCCTACGTGAGGATCGAATATGAAGTTTGTTTTCGGTGTACGGTGTCTGAAAAATAACAGGCCTTAATAAGTTTTAGATGGTAGTAGAACAATAAATATAATAAGTACGGTTAAAAGCACATAAAGGACTATAGATTCTTAGTGTGCATTTTGGACATCACGACTTAGATCTTCATAAGTTTAAGTATCATATTGCTCGATGCGTCTCTGGTCTCAGAGGTGTATCGATAGCATATTCGATATTAAATGAAATATTGAAACTTCAATGTAAAAACCGTGAGTTAGTATTGCAGTGGGTACCGTCTCACATCGGTTTACAGGGCAATGAGGAGGCTGATAAGCTGGCGAAATTGGCAATCACCCAAGGAAGAGAATGTAATATTTATCCTGATTATTCAGAAATTTTAATTAAATATAAAGAGAAATGTTATACAATTTGGAAAGAATATTTTGATAAAAGATCGCAAGAAAAAGGGATTTGGTACAAAACCATCCAGAGTCAGCCTTCGAAAGTGCCTTGGATTAATAAATGTCTGTTGAATAGAAAATATATTGTATTAGCAATGCGACTTCGTTCCGGACATATTCCGTGTAACAAGTTTGCTTTCATGATGAAAACATCTCCAAATTGCTTGCAAACATGCAAAACAATAGAAGATTTACAACACTTGCTCGCGGAATGTTCCAAAAATCATCATGAAAGGAATATGTAACCTAGGGGAATATCAAAGCATTCTGTTTGAACCATTATCTGATGCTGCTCAAATTGTATATAACTTAGTTAATTTTTTGTGTAAATAATTTAAGAAATTGTAGTTTGTTATTTAGTTATTAGGTACAATGGGACTGACATGTTTAAAATAACCTAAGTCCCTAAATTAAAAAAAAAAAGAATTAAAAAAAGTTTAAGTATGAAAACGAGAGCAAATTTCAATGGCGGTTATCTTTACTTTTTAATTTTCGTAGTAAGTCTATCGACGGAAGATAAAACGGTTACATTTATAATTTCAATTATTTAGACTGCTTTTAATTTTGCTAAAGAAGTCGTTGATCTTTTATAGTATTATTAAAAAACCAAATATGCATTATAAAACTTGCCAATTAGATGCTGTAAGAAGCAACAAAACTAATAACAAGAAAAGTCCATTCATAGCATTATTTCCTAACTCATAACAAGAAAAGTCTATTCATAGGAATATTTGCCGTAGATGTTGAAAGGTTATGGTGATTTCAACTTAGATTGTAATATTATATATAACACGAATACATTTTTTGGACCTTAAAGCATGATTCACGTTACACCGTGTCGGAACCGGGCCGGGCTCTACCCGGGGCACGTCCACTGTCATTCATGCTACCGGCCGGGTCAGTAATTCATGCTATACCGGGCTGTTTGCGTGTATTCTTTGCACGACCATGTCTGTGATAGGTGTTTTGTGTCTACTAGTGATTTCATTAGTCCATAGAGGGGACGCTTGAGTAAATATGCAATTTTCACAACTTGAATTGATATTATATATATTAGATATATTTTTGTATTTACTATCATATATAAATAACGTAAATTACAGGATATTTGCGCACACATTCTAGCAATGTTTCATCGTCCGTTTTGATATTGTCAACGATATGTCATCGACTGCCCTGCGCATGAAGGTTAGAGAACAGGAGAACGATCGCCGTAGAAAATAGTGTCCCAGAAATATGGACACCATAAGTGAGGCGCTGCGATCACTAAGTACAGTCAATAAAAGACATTTTCAAAAAAAAATTCATTTTCAGTTAATTACAAAATTACGGAGCATGAAAACTTTCTACAAAAAAAATGAAATGAAAATTTTTATAACATATTGATTAAACAGCTAACTTCGCAGTCGCTACTCACCGACGTCAGCGCCGCTATACATTTTACAAATTTTCAAGGACAGGCGGGCTATGCTTTAGTACGTAGTGATCGTTCTCCTGTTCTCTAACCTTCATGTCCCTGTGGGCGCCCGGCGTACACATTCATGTTACAACGTATCGGGGCCGGGCCGAGCCACAAGCCGGGAAACAATACCCACCGACATTTCGACGCCGTGCCCCGGCCGGGTCTTGGCAGCGCACGGCCGGGCCACGGTCAAGCATGAATCACTTCAAACAAAAAATATGCTAAGATGTTTGTCCGTGTCCCGGCCGGGGCCCGGCCCGGTCGCAACACGGTGTAACATGAATCAACCTTTGTTTGTAGTAATGTCTTCCAAACCAAACGGACGCTAGTATCACCGGAGAATGGCCATCTACATTTTATGGTGTACGATTGTGTGCACAACTGGCGTAAGACACGCGTCAGCTCGAGCGCGCGCGTAACTAACCCACTGAATTAGCCTATGCTGGGAGCCACGCATCGTAGTTATATTTTCATGCCTAAAGCGCGGAGTGAGACAGGCCTGCTATTAGTAAACGATCTCTGTTAGTGAAGAAAGCTGCTATTAGCTACATTAGATATTAGATTATAAGCTGCTATTAGATATATTAGCTGCTAATAGTAAAAGATCTCCGAGTAGTGAAGAAGCCAAGCGATTTGTTTATAGTATTTGTTACACTTAAAAGCAAATTAATCCAAAAAGTGTTACATAAAAACAATATTTTTACCCTTTTAAAAAATACAACAAACTTATGAATCCTGCCTCTACATCCAAAAACAGGAAGGCAAAAATGGAATCGTGGTAAGTAGAAAAGGGTATACACCCTATGAAAAAGGCATGCGTAAACCACAACTTTACGATCTAATAAAAAAACAAAGACGTGCATAAAAGATACGTAGTAGACGAAATGTAAAAAAACTACTACGATTTCCTTCGTTTACCCCCCTTACCCTATCGATATGTCGTGGACTGCTATTAAAGGGCACGTAGCCGCTAAAAACGTCGACTGGAACGTAACCCAGACAATGGAGCTCATATAGGAAAAGTAAATTTAATGGGTCAGAAAGAATGAAGTGATATGTGCAAAAAAGTGCAAGAGGTCGAAGATGAATATAAGAAGAGCGACCATATTATTCAGACAGAACAGTTATTCATCATTAATACAGCTTCAGATTTGGAAATTGAGTCAGAAAGTGAGAGCAACGATTACTATGATGAACTTATGACAAGTACCTCACATGGTACGCAAGGAGCCGACGACTTTATGTTGGGGATTTCCCCCCTCAGCGACAGTGATTAAATAGTAATAAGTGTAAATATATGAAAAGTATTCAATGTAAATACTAATGTGTTATGATAAAAATCTGCCACTATCGAAAGGTGAGGTATCGAAACTGAATCTTTAATTTATATGTTATTGTTGTAGCTTTCTGTCTCCAAAGCGTTTCTTTGATATTTATTTGTACTCATTGGTCACACTATTAGGGAATTTTATTCGTACATTGATATATTAAAAAAATATTACAATATCAGTTTTCTTCACGAGTGTACATCCGCTAAAGTTCGCATAGCCTGTCTTCAGACTCGCCAAGATACATCGACCGTATTTTATATAGTATATTCATTAATGTATACTCACAACTCTTCATATTGAAGCGCCGTTTTAGCCATGTCGGTGAGCTTTGCATACAATATCTCCCATACTTTTTCCAAGGCTTCACCTATCAAGAAATAGTCATACCACCATTTCAGTCGTACGTAGGCTTCGTTGTACTGTAAAATAAATATGAAATTTCGTTCTTTAATGCAGAATGCTGACTGTTGGTCTACGTTTTGAATTCAACAACATCTGTGGATTGATAAAAATAGTGTAGGTAATATGTATTTGTGATATTTTACATTATTACACGTTCATGTTATTTACAACGTAATTTTACATTGTGTAAAATATCACAAATACATACCTTCTATAGTATTGCTTTTGTATAATTGAGTTTACTTTCATAAGTCCCTAATATAGAACTACTCATTGTGCTACAGTACTTCAAGCAGTTGAGCACCAGACCACCCCATATATATGTACAATTTCAGATATGTATCTCCGGCAGCTCCTCTATACAAGACATCTATACATGAACACTTTCCATAACTTAGGAAAATTTTCTTTTATACATGTCATACCCATTTACATTTATCCTTGCCCTAAAACCCTCTCAGAAGTGAGAGGAGGCATGTGCCCAGAAGTGGGACGTATATAGGCTGAACATAACCCAGAATTTTTTGGTTTAAATAATTTATTATCTCAAGAATTTTACATTCACTTATAAGACTTACATATCTACAGCTTAATATAAATTTGGGCTATTCGTACAAGGTAATAATGCAAATTACAACAAAAACTACCGAAGACATACAAAACTAAATGTAGGTGGTTTTAAAAATTTTGTTTAGCGACAGCAATGGTGTCTGGTAAATAAAAACTCAACTCTTTTAAGTTTGTAAACAAGGACTTAAATTGAACCAACAATTTCATTGATTACAGCGGGGCTCAAATTCTGTATGTTGGCGTACCATGAAATTGTAACGCTTACCCCAGAGCTATCACAGCTCTCCATCTTGATATGTTTTTAATATTAACATTGTTAGATAAGCATGTATTTGCAAAAAATAAAATTACAATTGTTTATTTTTTTAAGTAAATTTGAAGTGAATTATAACTTCATACCTTTTCGATAACGTAAACGACTTGAGGCGTCTTCAAGAAGTTTTCCCAGGCATTCCTAAATTCGGCGTACAGCTGCTTAAACTCGTCTTTAAACGGTATGTACTTCTCTATCTTGCTCCATACCACATTCCAAAGCTTTTTACTGTACTTCTTAATGTTTGTAATGAGATCATTGTTCACTAAGTCTTTGTATATCCTTAAGAAGTAAAAAAATATGTTTTAGTAATACGAAATAGGCGTTTTATATTTTTTTCTTTATGACAAACATAGAAAATATTATATAAACTTTTTTACGAGATTTATAAAAAGTTAATAATTTAATGCCAAGTGAATCGAATTTTGTTAAGCTGAACCCAAAGCTTGTACTTTACTATCTTCGGCTACATAACTTACCATCAGGTGGGAGTCAAGCACTGGTTTATAATAGATTAAAAAGCCTTATTTGTTAATTTCTAACCTAATCCTTGATAATTCTAACTTAAATTCTAACAAAAACATCGTATGTCCTTAAGTTTGCATAAAACGGGGTGATGAAATTACGACGCCTCAACACGGCTATTTCTTTATGTTTCATTTGTGGGGGTTGAAATTTGTTTACTTTGATGTGCGCAGAAATTCAAGTTTTATTACATAAAAAATAATATAAATGAAAAAAGTTAAATATAATTATTACGTAGATATTACTACGTACAATTTATAATATTTGTTAAACTGTGCTACTTACTTATCCATCTCGTGTCCGAAGGTCGATACGTAATTGAAATATGGTGAATCAGTCAACTCCTGAGTTCTGTTGTAGAAGAAATCCATAACGCCTTTCCAGACCGTGAATACAAAGGATTCCGTGTAATGCAATATTTTAAAGAACAACGGTTCGATCGACTTTAATAACTCGTGCCAATAAATTGATAATCTCGATGTCGCATTCACCCAGGTTTCCTCCCAATACTCCAGAAGTTTCATATGCAGGTCCCTTACAAAGTTGTCGTACTGCAAAATCATCGCTTCAAGTCTTTCGGAGACCAATTCCATAAAATCTGCCTCTAGCACCTTATTGACGGATTCTAAAAAGTTCGAATAGGCCATTTTGATGGTATCAACGATGTACGTCAGGCTTTGCTTGATAGACTGGCTTGTATTGCCCATCATGCCCCACATATCGTTCACGAAGCCGGGCAAGCCCTCTAAATGGTTTCTTATGGCCATTTCGTCTAGCACATAGTACGTGAACTCGACAACATCCTTGACATAGAAGTCATTGTTGTTGTATGACTCGTTTAGGAAGCGTTCGAATTCATCTAAGTCGTCCTTGATTACGTGCAAGTCGTTCAAATCGTCCAAGAAATCTCTGATGCGCGGTTTAGCGTCGATCCAAATGGCTCTCAACGCAAGATGAGATTCCATCGGCGCTTCTTTAATTATCATTAGCGTTTCATTCACTTGCGAATACAAAAGCTTCAATGTATAGAGAGCTTGTGATTTGATCTCGCTGAATATTTGAGGTCGCCAGATTATAGAGCTGGTTAGAAGCCGGGAATGGTTCAGACGAATGTATGAAGCTAAATCGACGGTTGAGACGTCATCAAAATCGCGCCAAGCGTTTAGTTTTGCAGATCGAGTATCTACGATCTTACCAATTAAGTGGTAGGAGATATCTGAAGACAAAAACACGAATAGTAAAGAGATAACTTCGAGTCTGGTTGTATTTACAGTATGGAAATTATCGCGTTCACAGTTACGTTTTAATCAAAGGATTTCAGAGTAGAATATAACAATCTTAGAAAAACTAGTTAAAATATTACGAATTAGCAAAACGGAATTGTTATATGCACAGAAAGGTATAAATACACGTTTCTATAATATTATTCTTGCACTTCTTTAAATGTTAGTTAATTAATACCAACAGTATTTGAAATATATATATATATATATATATATATATATATATATATATACACTAGCTTACCAGGCAGACGTTGTTCTGCCCTTTTCAATGACCCTTTGTCATGTCCTATTAAAAATCCTTAAATTTGCAAAAAAATTGTGGGTCACACATGGGCAAAAAAACTAACCTATCTCTCAAGTTGGACTAAATTGCACACGGTGTGCAAATTTGATTATAATCGGTTAAGTAGTTTAAGAGTCCATCGCGGACAAACAACGTGACACGTAATTTATATATATTAAGATATAAAAACTTACCATCTGTGCTATTGTAGTGACCTATGAGTGATTTGTCAACCATAGACAGCTCACCAAATACTGTGTCGTTACCATTAGGATGTAACACGAGACCGTTTATTCTGTAGAATGGATAAACCAACTCCCAAGAACCGTTCACCTTATAGTAGTACGTTTCATTTGCGCGCTGCGGACAATCACCCATTTGATTAATGACCAAATACTCACGTTTAAATCAATTTCAACTGTCAAGTCTCCTGGTGTCACAGTCACTATGAGTAAAGGTAGGACCGCACTAGGCGAAAATGCACCGCAGCGGAACTGAGCGACACGACGCGACTAAATATTCTTTATATGAAATTATATGGGACAACACGCACTAAGCGGCAACAGAATTACACTGCAGCAGAACTGCGTGGCAAAGTTAATCAACTGTCCAACTCGTGTCGCTCAGTTCCACTACGGTGCAGTTCCGTCTATTGCAGTCCTACCTTTAGTGATAGAGACAGCACGAGATTTAACGCCATCTTAAAATTGAGCAGCATTCGAATATTTGGGCCACGTATAAATCAACACGTTTAAATATCAAACATTAATTGCCACATTGTGTGTGGTACTTAAATAAACAAAATTTTATTCAATGAAGATTATAAATAATACTTATTGAAAGACACTTTTGTCATTTACCACTGGTTCGCAAAAAAAAAAACCTGTCTTTGGAAGAACCAGCAAGAAACCCAGCGGGACCATTTTTTTTTTCAAATAATAGCTCACAATTATGTTTACAAACACAACACAACACAAGACAAATTAGAAATAGCTTGGTAGCGATCACCCTTCCCAGCGGTTATTATCATCCATAAATTCCTTACATTATAATAACCCTTTTTATACAAATTTAGTTTAATAAAATTTTTGAACTTTGTGTATGACAAATTTTATATATTTTCTGGGATTTTGTTGTAAAAGCGTATACATCGCCCCAAAAATGAATTACTGACTCAGTGAAGTCGAGTAACTAGTACTACTAGGTTGTGTCTGTTCCTAGTATTAACAGAATGAATATCACTTATTTTTGCAAAACTACTTTTATTTTTGTGTACGTACATTCACACTCTAGCCTCTCAATACATTTTCATAAATGTATTGAGAGGCTAGAGTTAATATATTTAATTTCCTTAAATTTTAAAAAAAAATACAAATAATTTTTTAATGAATAATCCATGCCACCGTTTACCCAAATCATCATGATCATCACAGAAATAGTTTCATTACACGCACGCTCTAATATTAATTAATTTTAATTACATTGCCACGTTATACAAAATCGTAAGGATTTGTCTCTCCGCCATCTAGATCTCAATTTTGAGGTGCGAAAGAAGGATTAAATTATTCTATTCTGGTACTAGTACTGATACAGTGATTTAATAAATGAAGTAGTGCTGGTTTAATTAAAGTAGCTAACAAGCCTAATGGCCAAATATTTTTAAAAATAAATAACTGTGTAGAAAATTACTTTTTTTGATTATATAATAACTTTATCAAAGCATTTTATACACATTTATAATAAGTTTTCATAATTTAAGTGTAAATGGTTGCTGACCAACATTAACGTCATGAAAAAAAAGTCATTCAAAATGAACAATGATTAGAGAAACCTAAAGATGATTTTCAAAGACCTATTTAATGATACCCCACTTGATATAGTTCGTCAACTTAGTTTTTATTTCTCACAATATAGCGTCTGGTTGTCGCCCTATTTAATTTTCATTACGGCCATATCTTTAGTGACACTTGCAAGATTAAGGCCGAATACGAAGAGAACTGGCGAAAATTAATGTATTTCTCTTGACTAGAACTTTGACCTGAAGTAATTCTAAGCTTTAAAACATTTTTGTAGGTTTGTTCGGGTCCTTCACAAGTTCACCGTCATTTTAAAATAAATGTATATACCAACAAATAAAAAAATTTTAAAAAATGATATATAAAATTATTGTTCTTCCAAAACTCTGTGAATTTTAATTTAGGAATAATTCTTTTACGTAAAAATGTTTGTATTGTGATTCCGAACGTACCTGCTATCTTTATTTTCGATACAAAATATTATTTATTAACATAATTCGTTTTAATTAAAAACACCTAATAATAATATCGTATATTGCCAGATAAAAGTTTGCCGTAATAAATTACCAGGCGCTTCGACGTGTGACGTAAGGTAACAACAGTCGATGTGTCTGTAGCGAAAATCGTTAATTTAGTGTTTTATACGCGTTTAAGTGTCTATAAATGTTAATATGGGTAGGAAAAGAAATAAATGTTACCTAAGTGGTAAAACAAAGAGAGTTTATCGCATGAACACTGCTCGAATGTTTTATTTTGAGGTTAATACTTATATTTTTGTAAGGTAATTTTTTTGTTTGAGACTGCCTAATAGGTTGCATTTTTACTCATTTACATTAGCCAAACTGATCATTTATACTTTTCTAGGTTCAAGTGAGAAACACTAAAAATGTAAAATATCAAGACCCAGTCGGAAAATAATGTACAGAGTAGTGCAAGCACAGAGACCGCAAATAATGTCAGTCAATGTATTGTCCGAAAGCATGGGATAGGTACATAATTAAGAAAAACCGAAATACTTCGGATGTGAAGTGATTGACCAGTCGGAGTAGTGAGAATTTACATACACAGTACCTATCCCCATATGGGGCAATCACCGACTTTTTAGTTTTTTTTTCTTTATTATTTATGCAATTTGCATTACGGCATCTTGTAAGACTCACAAGAACAAACATTTTCAGTTATATGAGGTTCTTTACGTACGATGCACCAATAAAAAAAGAAAATCGTTATCAATTCAATAACTTTTCGAACAATATTTTATAACGAATAAAGTACAGAACTTATAATCTATAGGAACTAATATTATAAATAAGAAAAATTTATTTAAAAAGTAAGCAATGCTATCTGTGTTGTTCATTACTCTGCATCTGAGCTAGTTCGTCAAATATAATCAAAGTCCGTACGGCTTTGATTATAGGTATTATACATGTCCATATAAACAAAGCGTAGGTACTGGCGGCGCGTGGTTCGCTGCGAAACGAGCAAGGTTATTCTCGTCGTATTCGGCCTTAATAGACAAATCGATTTACGTAAGAATCTTCGAAATCGGCCCAGGCGTTTGGTCGCTACAAAGGAACAAACAAACCTACATAAACATATAGGATGATAATATATACATATATATTGACGATTATATATATATATATATATATATATATATATATATATATATATATATATATATATATATATAGCAGCAGAGAGTAATAAACTTTCTACTGCGGATATCCTAATTTCTAAGTCTGATCTTCTATACTGAGTTCTAAAATATGTATAAATTTGAACAAATATGAGAGGATGATGAAAAATAAAGTAAACCTTACCTCCCAGTTAACTGCACTCTTGTTCATGTCGATCAGCATTTTATGTTGTCGCAACTTCTCATAAAACAGCGACTTTTGGAATCTGTAGAATGTGTTCATGTAGTACCACTTGCTCTGTATATTTATATCGGACTTCATGTCCAGGGCCAAGTTCGTGGACGGATGTGTGCAGGTCAGCGCGAACTTGTAGTCTCTAATCGGTCCATTCGAATTGTCCGTTAGAATAGATTGTAGTTTTAAATATTCGGTCTCGTAGTCCGAATACTGTAGCTCGATGGATAGGTTTGACATTACCGCCGGTGTGGTTAGGTACTGGCCTTTTATAGTTACGTCCTGAAATGTTATATACATTGATATAAAAATAATTTACGATATGATCTCATACATAAAATAAATAAAACAAGTCGATAGTAATATAAATCGTAACCGTTGAATATACGATGTATTATTTTATGTTGAATGTAAAAAAAAAAAACTAATTGATTCTCGATCTCCTTCCTGACTATTACTTGTACAATGTTAGCGACGAAAAGTGAATTTAATTATTTAATTTCAATTTATTCTTATTTGTGATATAAAACTAAGTGTAAAGACTGATAGTGTTAATAACAAGAAAGTGAATTAATTACTTATACTAGCTTCAATTCTTATTCGCAATCTAAAATTACGTAACGAAAATTAGTAACGAAAGTCAGTAACAAAAGTCTGTAACGAAAATGTTAATCTAATTGCTTATTTAGGTTTAATTAGAATGTTAGAAACGAGATATAAGTCTAATTACTTATTAGAACTTTCTCTTATTATAATTTAAAGAGCTGTATTAGAAATATTAACATTTAAGTGTAAATTTAATGATTTGTTTAATTCTTTTTCTTTTAAAGTAATTTAAAACGACAATATGTCAATATTTCACTTTTGTAATCTAATTTCTTATTATAAAATAGATTTTAATTTAACTTATTAAATTTAAAATGTATTCTGTATAGATTCTTAAACATAATATTATCATGATAAGCATTGTGCATTCCTGCCGCCTGGCGGCGCTACTTGTATGTTAAGCGGAAAAAGCTTGCTACTACGGAGCTAAACCGTAGGAAAACCGCGCCACTATTTTTATTTTTTACAAACGTATATGTATAAAAACATTGTAAGGTATGTTTTACCACACATATTAAAGAAATTTGTAAATTTCCTTTAGAAAAGGTCGTTCTGCGCTCTGATTGGTCGACGGGAATCATTAGTGCCGTGTGCAAATTCATTAGTGCCGTGTGCAAATTTTATTAATTCTGATTGGTCACAGCTGTCTATAAAAAAGAGGCGTTTTTTGTGGTAAAACATTCCAAATCCGGCAATGTAAGAATAAAGCATCAAGAAATAAATAAGAAGAAACTCTGAAGAAGTGTTATTTATTGCTCATCTAACTGCTACTGCATGCTCTCCAGTTAACATCCCGCTAGCATAACCCGCTCCATTACTAACATTCTCACACACGAACATCAACATACAATATTAATATTTTCGTCATACACAAAGTAACCACCCCTTCGCCTTTTTACAGCATACATTTCGAATAGTGTGTATCGGCTTGTCGACATACCACGCATTCAAATCAAACGGTTTGCTTTATCTTTCATAATAAGTATGCGCAAAGGAGTGTAATAATTTGCCAGTATCGGTCTTTTCATACGATTATAATGTGTGTGTTTTCAAGGCAAGAGTGGCTTGGAATAGTAGAGTAGTAGTAGAACAGGCTTTTAGCATATTCGTGTGCATCACCACTTACCATCAGGTGGGATAGTCAAGCACTGCCCTATAACAGTATTATTTTGTGTATATATATATATATATATATTTATAAGTTATGTATATATATATATATATACATTATGTTTTTGTACATTCTATTCATCATCGCCATCATTACAGCTTATTAAAAGTCAACTGATGAACTTTGACCATCCTCATACTTATTTTTAAAGGGATTTTTGTAATAGCTGCCACACTTGTCAAGCGGGTTGGCAATCGATTTTTTATTTTTTGAGTTATCAGGAAGATGCTGCTGCCATTTTGTTTCCGTCTGTCGGCTCTTACGACACCCTCTGGACGATATGGGGTAGTGCATATTCTTACACTGCCACTTTTCTTTTAACCTAGCCACCACATGGTGTATATTTTATTGTACGAGTTGTTAACAAATTAAATTTAATCACGTGTTTATTTCAGCTTATTTCCGTATTTTGTTGAAACTGTTTATTAGGTATGTGGAATTTTTACTTAGTAATTCAGAGGCTGTCAACTAATAATTATCTTCCATATTACTTCAAATTCCAGTTGTGGCAACACTGTCGTCGTGCCTCAAGTGAAACACACTGAAGCCTAAATCGCGGTATCAAAGTTTCGAAATACTATAACATTGCCCGCTCTCCTGGCCGATTACCTTGCCAGGTGGCAGATCACCCTATTTCCTTTCACGATCAAACAGTAATGAATCACTAAGCAAGGTAAGCGCAGACCGAGCCGCAAAATGCTCGCGCATGCTCGAGCAAAATTTTGACTACTCGACTATGCAGGCGGCATCCGCGCGCCTCCGTGAGCAAGATCCATTAAAAGTGCTCTGGGTTGCTAGGGGGGCGTGCATTACCAATTTAATGCCAAAAACCAACGTTGATAGACAATATGATGATTGGTGACGATGACTTGGTGATTACAGCCCTTTTGGCAGAGAGAGGAACATAAAGAACATATTAATGAAATCAGACTTCAGAAAATTAGATAAACAGTATGGGTAGAAGAAACGTGGAGATTCTTTCCCAAGCATTGGCTTTTAACATACGATCGCTGTATGTTGGACATGATATATTGTACAGACACTCAAAACGCTACACCAAACTTATCAACTTTTCTTCATCCATGATTCCGACTTATGTGACGCGCTTATAGGTATAAACTAAACACACGTCGAAACAGTTTTTTCGCTGCGGCTGAGCGCGGGCTGCGGTGGTGCGAGCGCGCTCGCGCATGCTCGAACATGCATCCTGCAAGCTCGAGAATGGTCGAGCATCAAGTTTGGACGTGTATATAATTTTGCATTGTCTGTCAATAGTCATAAAATTAATATTTTAGTGTTCTCAGAAAATGCTCTGCTCTGCTCTGCACTTGGTGTGCGCTGACCCCTATACGTACCTTTTTGAAGGAGGGGTGCGAGAGAGCGAGATAGACGTCGTGCAAATTTCCCTCCTCAGTGGGGGGGTTGTCCCAGCGCGCTCGCACGTGCGCAGTCTTGTTCTCCTCGCGCACGTTCCACAGCAGGCGCGCGTCACCCTCCAGCAGCGAGTCCTGCAGCCGGTACAGCGCCGCCACGCTCAGCGAACGCAGCGGGTATCGCAACTTCATTACTAGCTCCTGGGATTCCGTGTCCTCCTGTTTACAAATTGTTTATTTTGTTACAATTTGTTTAGAAACGCATTAAATCGAAATAACTTGTAAATTTCATTATAATTCGCATTAAAACACTTGTATAGCGTCAATCACGTGATAGTACAACATCAAAAAAATTACCTATATAACCATTACGTGATACAGTAATTTTGAGATATGCTCAACATGCTAAGGCCAGACACATACATACGAAATTTCATTTCGGAATTACGTCTCGGAATTTCGATTTGGTATTCCAAAGGTAACAAGTCCATATAAAATCAAGGACCCGTCACACACGTACAGTAGTTTTCCGTTCGAAATTTTGTGAGCAAAACGGGATTTCGAATGTGTGTGGCCGACCCATTCAAAATTCCAAAACGGAATCCCGAAACGAAATTCCGCATGTATAAGGATGGCCTAAAGATGAAACTAAGGCAAGAAACGTTGATATCGTCTTTTCGCCGATTTTTACAGACATAGGCTATTGCAGGAATTATTCGCTCATTTTTATATCGAGTTTATAATTAAATATTTAAATACACCAATTGAAGTTGACACCATCATCAATATATTAGTATGTTACTTTATATAGTGTCTCAAAAAAGTATATTTAGATCTTTAATATTTAAGATTACACAAATAAGATAATAATTTCACGATTAAAACTGAAATACGTAATATAATAAAAACAAAAAGATAAATGAACAGTAATTCAATTCACTATAGCATAAAATACCTAATTATATATATTATGTTAAATTAAAACAACATAAACGAATTAAAAATTACAGTTCTGTTTGGATAAAATAGTTCAATTACTTTAAAATGTATTTGATGGCAAACTTTTTTCCTTTATGAAATTCAGTATATTCCATAGAAATTTTGTGTGCTTTTTCACAACTAAAAATGACGTTAATTAGGAACAAAAATTGCGATTAAACATTTCAATCGTGTCCGCGAGGATTATATAGATAGAGAGATAGATGTATTCTTTTGTTAAGGATGCAATAAAGAATAAAATAAATAAATAAATAAATAAATAGAGATAGATAGATTAGATAGAGCTGAAGAACGAGCAAAAAGTTTATGACTTATTAGTTATTAGGCGTTAAATTATTCCAATTTTTCAACCAACTTCAAAAAAAGGAGGACGTTCTCAATTCGACTGTATTTTAATGTGTTACCTCAGATTTTTTTTCTAAGTGAACTGATTTTGATGATTCTTATATTTGAAAGTTGGTGCTTCTCAGTGGTCCCATATAAATTTGATCAAGATCTGAACAGTAGTTTTTGAGTTAATCTTAATATTGTGTATTTAATTGACTTCGACTACATTGATGATGTTCTAATTTTATTTATATTGAAGTTAGTTGTACAATTTTTTTAATTTTACCACTTGTTTACAATAACAATAATCTACAACAGGCACCTACCACGCTCATATTAGTGACGTGTATATCGTAGTCGATCCAAACGTCCTCCGCCCATTGGATTTTGCTGCCTTGAGTCAACTGTTTCTCCAAGGTTTCGTATTTATTGTCGAAACTCCATGTTCGGTTACCGTGTATAGCGGTCAGTTTCAACTTTTTGCCTATATCGTAGTTCAAGACGTCCAATTTGCCTGTAACGTTGAACTTCGTCGCGTTCTGGAGGTGGAAGATGGTCGCTTGTTTCACGTCCTGCGAACATTTCTTTTAACTTTAGTACAACGATAATTTTTAGTGATTTATTGTAATAACACTGATAAAAATTTATAAACTTGTGTATCACATTGTTACGACAGCCAGTTGCATGATGCATCACGTTGTACGAGAACGAGCAATCGACCTACGAAATCTGCGATTATTAAGGCTCGCCGAAGAAGCTTAGCGATATTGGACGTGATTGTACATTTGCTGAATGATTGGAAGAATATATATATATATGTGTGTGTGTACATAGATGCACTCCACAGGTAAAAGTATTTAATATGAATTATCACTAATGACTTAAAGGAAATTTTTGGAATAGAATATATTTCCACTAAAAAAACTTCACCATCATAAGTAATCTTAATAATGTGTCATCCATGTTAGAACCAGAAAGAAACGGATGGATGTGAAATGCTTGGAAAAATTTTGTTGGCAATCTTGGCGATTTACTTAGTACATAATGGCAACGCCGCAGCTTTATAATAGCCGCTTCGAATGGCTGACCCATTCGACCGACCGGGGAAGGGCCACGCACGCTCTCACAGAATACCAGCGTGAAATACCAATATAATGCTGCTATGTTTTGTAAAGAACCAGAAACTGTTTTCACTAGTAACGAGATACTCCATCATAGTCCTTGGGGAACAACATTTTGAATGGATGAAAGCTGTAGGAGTCTATTGGAATCTGTGTGCTTATTTGTCATTTTACTAATTTAAAAATGCTTAGGTGAACTTTGTACCAAAAATATATAAACAGTTACCAAAAGTAAATACGGAACAGGAACGGAAAAAATTACACACAAAACATAAAAGTGATACGTTCCTACACTTATTCTGTGTTGCGATAAACGATAAGACCTGCAACTAGTTTTAATTTGCGTTTTGTAAAATAAATTAAATAAAAATTATTTGAGCCTACATACTAGTAACAAGGTGGCGTTTGTTGATTTCTTTAAAACTAACCGACGTTATTTTATTTAATATAATTTGATGAGTATAATATCAATATAATAATCTTCTCATATATATTTAATATACATATATACGAGTAAGATTTAATCTTCTACTTATTGTTTTAGTATTGAATGTTAAATTACTATATACTATATTCATTGTTACCTCAACATAGATTTTCTTGTTTTAAATATTAATGAAGTTATCTTAAGTTTGCTATAATTTATTATGCTAGAACAGACTGTTATATGTGAAACGATAAGCAGTTCGTTAAAAAATGTGTCAAATAAGAGAAAGGAAATGCGGTAGGTACATCATACCATGCGGAATAACTTCCACATGCAAAATCTAAATAAAATAAGTTATATTATAATATTAGAAAAAAATACTAATCAAATATCAATATACTTTAAAAATTACTTACAATGTTTCCAGTGTCGTCAAATTCGTGTATGTACTTAATACCAACAGGCGTGTGAATATTTTCGACTTCTATGTTGGTGGTAGAAAGGTCCAAATTCCTTTCGCTCTTGCTTAAAACCTGTACGAAGGAACCCTGGGCGAATCGCTCGTGATCAAAATCAATTGTAGCATTTCCATTGCTCGATTTGTCGTCCTCTACGTAGTAGTACTGCGTGTTGACGAGGTGTTGGGTGTTCAATGGAACTGACAACGATATCACGCCGGTTTGCGTGAAGCCACTCTCGCGTTTCGTGTAAACGTGAGTTGTGTTTACCGAGGCGGATTTATTAGGCCAGAACAGGTCCACCTTGTTGTCCGAATACTCTTCCAAATTGTTGATCTGTAACACAGATATTGTTATAGTTATTTTCAGGCCAGAGAAAGACACACGGAACATTACATTACATTAAATTTACAAATGACGACGAAATAATGTACAGCTTATCTGTAAAACACGACACACATTAGCGAACACATATGTATCTAAAATCATTTTAAACCAAAAACAAGTTTACTATATTTCTGTATGTGGTAGAGCCACGCTACAGCTATATTATAGTTGGACCGGGGAAGGACATGCTCTCACAGAATACTAGCGTAAAATAGCAGCGCAATGCTGCTGTGTTTCATATAGTGAGTGTGGAGAACCACTGACCCTGTTTACTGGATTCGAGGCATTCCATCTTAGTCCTCAGGGGTGACACAACGCATTTGCACACACAGGGGTTTGGGTTACAGCATTCACTTACCATGATGTTTGCTCGTTTGTCACCCAGTGCTATAAAATAACCAATTAGTATATTTTTACGAATTTATTTTACTATAAGCCAGTGTTTTACTATGATTTAGACATAAGTAACTTTGCTAAATTCAATGGGTTAACTCAATAACTCAGGCGCAGTTTACGGCGCCGGCTCAACGCGTTAACGCGAAATTGCGCCATAATGCAACAAACACATCTGTCAATTCAGTCATCTGTCAAAATAAAAGTTGTGTTGCCAGTAATTAAAATAAATTTTAGAAAAGAAAGATTACCTTCATATTAGGTCTATATCTTCAGGTACTATTTATCACTCCTTTTATATTTCATGGAGTTATAAAAATAACAGTACCCGGATGACAGAGCTTTGCTCGGTATTTTTTTAGAAATCGTGTTTTTTTGTAAATGATATTTATATACAAATTACACTGATGAAATATGAATAAAATATTTCGATCTTCTCGATCATTATTTTTCGTGTTTTGCAAAAATTATACTAAAAAAGGGCTCCAAATAATATATTTTCTCGAATTAACCAATATGGCTTCGTTATCCGGAAACTTACAAATCTAAGACAACACAAAGAGACTCAATATATAATCGATCCGGGCTTCGCGCAACAAACTAAAGAATTAAGCCTAGTTATCATTTCACGTAATATAAGATAACTTAAGGCCGTCCTTTCGACGCGCAATTATATTCTTCTCGCGACCTCTAATCTCGACCCGGGAACGCCGGCGTTCACTGGCGCGGGTGTCCCCTCGCTCCGCCAACCATCTCCTCACCCCGCTATCAATTATCGAGCGCAACTTTGCCGACCCTGCCAGTACATTTAAGTAGGAAACCAGGGAGTCAATACTGTACAGATGGAAGTGCAGTCTTTAGAAAAGTTTCAGTAACAAGGATGGCATCAACATAATATTTAGAATCAAAAGTGGATAAGATATCAGCATAGTAAGCATGAATGCTTTAAGCGTTAATATGAACTATATTAAAATGTTTACTATAATTGCAGGATTCGTCTGTTAGTGGATCATGTAAGTGAGAGAAATCATCACTTAAGGCGCTTTTATAGATCGTATCAGAAGAAATAGAAGAAGAGCATGTAAAGTAACAATCATCAAATTTTAAAATATCACAAATCATATAAAAACAATAAAGTTAAATAATATATAATATCAATAAAGATAAAATATATAGGTGCTTATATAAAGTATATTCAATACAACTCATATACGTCTGGATATAATATATACAAAATATATAATAATATCTTTATATATACGACTTTATAAATAAGAATATAATATATATAAGAATATAATTGCTCGTTTAAAGGTATAGGATAAAATAACAAAGTATTAATACCTTTAGAATTTTCCAGACTTGCACCGCGCGCCAACACATATTGAAGAAGTGGGTTAACACACCGGCGCAGTGAACTGAGTTAGCACAATTGAGATTCGTAGCGCAGTGTTACCTATGTTACTACAAATCCATCTAGTGGTAAATGGTGACGAAGCCCTTATGTATGTATTTGACTGATGCCAAAGAAAATAAGCGACAGGGTTATTGAATCTTACGAAAACTGTTTACAACCCTCAATGTAAAACATCAGACACTTAAATAATCAGATTAATAAAATATTGCAAATATATCCATTAAAGACATACGACGAAAAAAGTACATACACAAGAAAAAAGTATATACAAGTACACACGCACGCACCCACACATACACACACATACTGTTTCACTTATGTTGAATGTACTTAGCTAAGGGAGGGCGAAAACCTTCTACCACAAGTATCTTCATGCATAAAAGAAGTCCTCAAACTCGTACTTATATAAGAAAATGTTGAAAGCAATAAACTATCATTTCATTTAATTTCCTTTCATATAATTTTAAACCCAACAAAAATATAACAAAAACAATGAATTTGAAACTACTCTTCTCCGAGCGAATGAAATAATTAATTAATTATGAAAATACTAACATCGAATATAGATTTCAGCCACGGCAGCTTATGGAACGGTGTGCTGAGGTTGAAATGTCCGTCTGTGTGCTTGAAGCCGCCGTAGCGGAGGTCCAGCTCGCCGATCTGACTGCTGCCCGGACGATGCATAGTACCCCTGAAGATCATAAAAATGTTTAAAGCTACATCTATTCATTTATTCGTATATTTGTTTAATATTTATGCACATTTTAGGAAACCTTATCTATACATATAAATAAAATTAAAATGTCTGTCTTTAATACCGAAATATCTGCATTTTATTGAGCTGAAGTTATTTCCATGCCATTAAGACATGAGTAATAATTTATAAATTTCCTTCTCTCTGTATCTGTATGTAACAATCTTCAGAACGGCTGAACTGATTGTAATTAAACTTTACAAACAGACAGCAATGCCCAAAAGTTATCTAGGCTATATTCTATCTAAAAAAAACTTAGACTCATTATGAGAAACCAAAAAATATATAATATTTTTAAAAATTCGTAAAAAAATATTTTCCATTTAAGTAAATTAAAAAATATATAAAACGGATTTCGCAAATATTAAATATCACATAAATCGTAATAATAAGATAATAGAAATAAATTAGCGCCCGATTACTTCCAAAACCGATGTCGTCACATCTTACCGTATTATAAACATACGCAATGCGCAATGATATCTAATGTTTCATATTAAATTGCTTGGCGAGTTTGTCAACGTCGCGTGTGTTGCGTATTACGGTAGGACAAAAGCAGCAATGGTAATTATATAATATGAAAAGTAATAAATGAATTTGCAAAGGTTAATGTTATAGTAAAGATTTGATCTAGATGTAAATTAATTAAAACAATGATAATTAGTAAATAATCAACTCACTGATGATAGGTTATGCCTTTATTAGTTTAATTACACGTCCTTGATGAGTTTTTACAACTGGTTATGCTGCAGTGCAACATTATAAATTTATAATAACAAAAATTCACGAACGACGTTCCCTGCACAACTAAATCACAAAATGGTGAATTATGTTCGTCAACCCATATAAGCGGCGACAAGGTCACGCGTCTATGCGACTTCTATTGTCTTATTATTACGATTTGTGTTAAATATCCTTCATCTACTTACTTGAGTATCTGGTATCCATGTACCATATCTTTTTGGTACGAACCCTTTATGTTGAAAGTAGGCTCTTTAACGTACAGTGGTGTGGTGAGAGTGTAGTCGACGTGCTTTGATCCGTTCACATCCCATTTGTAAGATAAAATATTGTCCACGTCTTTATATTCGGAGTTCGATGTCCAGGTTATCCTCGCGTTGGAGTCTAAGCTTTCTTCTAGACTAAGAATCTGACGAAACGAGAAATAGGGCATATATAACAATACAAATGAAATATTTACTTAGCGTGAGCGCGACAAATGACATTTATTTTGTAGTGGAGGACTAAAAGGATGAGTTTAGTAAAAACAGAATGGAGAAGTCCCAAATGTTCAAAACTTGGACACTAGGACATTTTTTTTTAGAATAAGGGTGGCAAGCGAGTACACAGACGTAAGTGAATGCTGTGGTCCATAGACATCTACATAGAATCTCGATCAAAATCAAAATGCAGATGCGTTGTCACCCCTGAGGACTAAGATGGAATACCTCGTTTCCAGTAAAAAGGGTATCTGGTTCTCTACACTCACCATACTAAACACAGAAGCATTAAGTTGCTATTTGACGCTGGTATTCTGTGAGAGCGTGGTGCTTCCCCGGTCGAGCCGACCCATTCGTGCCACAACCATAATATAGCTGCAGCACAGCTCTACCACGGATCACATTTCACATTGCTACAAATCTCACGTCATCTTCCGGTGAAACCTATACACAATACATACATAAATTTTCACGTTTGTCACGCAGAGTGTGCCAAGCATGCTCGTCGGTTTAGAGTACTCGTAACTTGGCCCATATTAAATATATCGCCAATTTGGTCTATAAGCTTCCAAGGCGTACTAACTCTGTTGCTCATACACCATCGACTTAGCTTATAAAAAATGTTAGTACTATACTGTCCGTTATTAAATGCTATGCAAAAGCTAATATGAAAACAACAAGATGCTACAAAAAAATGAGAATAGAAGATAGGGAGAGTAGACATGTGGCCTCTATTAGATCATTGAATCTGTCTCAATGCCAGACCCTGAAACATTTAAGGAGATTGGGGTCAAAGAGTAAAATCTTCGGTGGGTCGTGGTGGCGTGATACTGCTATTTTGTAATTTCCACCAGGACCATGAAAGGCTAGTTACAGATTGGTAGTAATAATGATTAAACAACAATATTTTGTAATCAATACAGCATACTACTCTATCAACAAATATTTTGAAGATAACATGAATGATTTTTAGTTACTACAATAGTTAATGTCAGATTTATTTATTATATTTTTATCTTTATGTCATTAAAAATTATGTAATTGTTAATTAAACATACAAATTATAATTGAAATTGTTATTTTATTAAAAATTAATTTTCATATTGCCAGGTGATAATGATAACCCAAATATTTGTATGCCTTTTAAGGCGAAACATAGTGTTACTTATCATACCTTTTCCACCAAGTTTGTAACTTTTTACCTATATTTTACAAATGAATTATTTGATTTGATTTGTAAGCCTTAATTCATATTATTTTTCAAGTGCTTCTGTGTTCGATTACCTTTCCTCTAATAGCAGTAACAATCTTGGTAACGTCAGTCCTGTACTCTGCTTCTAGAACTTTCTCGGGCTTCTCGCTCGTCCCCATATCGCCGTCGATGTACAATGTGTGCACGTCCACGTTAGGCTTAGGGAGGATCGCATTTATGATTAAATTGATGCGTTTGTCCGGTATGTACCCGAATGAAGCGTTGGCGCCAATCCTGAAATATAATACATGAAAGATGAGAAATAGTTTCTCAGTCGCAGCCCGAAAATTTATTTGATATTTGTATAGGTAGTTAGATACACGGCATTCAACTAAACGTTTAGGCTTTTAACCATGGAGGTTATAGAACAGGAGAACGATCACTACGTACTAAAGCATAGCCCGTCTGTCCTTGAAAATTTGTAGAATGTATAGCGGCGCTGACGTCGGTTAGTAGTGACTGCGAAGTTAGCTGTTTATGAGTACAAGTAGATGAAGTTAGTTGAATAATGTACAAATTTTCTTCGCGGCATTGGTGAGAAAATTTTCATGCCCCGTAATTTTTTATTTTTGACAAAAATAAACATTAAAAAATGGAGAAATATTTTATTGTGCGTGGATTCATTAACAAATAAATTTCCTAACGATGTTATTTAAACGATGTTGAAGTAGATTATATGTTTAAGTGAACATGCAGACAGACTCAGATAAATGATGAGTGTGTGTATTTTAAAGTGTTATTGCTTTAATAAAAAGTTCCTGGCCGATCGAGCTTTGCTTTTCGTTAGAAAAAAATTCTTAGGGATGTAACCTAAATATAAATTGGGAAAGTAAAACATTACTAAATACATTAAATTATATACACATATTTAACACAAGAATTAAAATATAGGATATAATACTATAACTTAGCCATTAGAGATAGTTTCAAAATCATTAAACGTACTGCCAGACACGATCGAGGTCCATTCTAAACCCGGCGTTGGTTTTGACAAGTTTATCGGGCGTCGTACTGTTACCGAAGAAGATGTCTAGGTCCACACTCTTCTGTAGTTGCCGCACTAGTTGCTGTCCCAGCGCCTGGAACAACGTACATTTTAACCTACTTAGAAAGTCCCGGCCGGACATAGTACAAATACACAAAGTATTGGTTTTCGAGTCTGGGATATGCTGCGTGTATCTAATTATAAGTCTAGCAAGGCTTCAAGAATTATGATTATAATCGTTATTATCGTCAACCATGATATGTCCACACTTGAACATAAACTCCCATGGATTGCAATAAACCAACTGTACAACAAATTCCGTGGGCGTCATAAGAGGCGACAGAGCAAAACTGATCCAGAAGACTTTACAATTTAAATAACAATTAAGAGCTTTATAATTATTTAAATATGAATATATCAATTATTCTTATGAATATTAATAAGGAAGACAATTAACGTACCCTGATATACAAATCGCCCAACAGGAAACTCCATTTGAGGTCGCCGTTGCCTTTCATATCGGGCAATTCATATTTGCATAGAAGATATCCCGTCTTTGGCCCAAATCTATTATAAAAAAAACATAAATATTATAAACAATCATCAATCATAATTGAAAATATCAAAATAGAATAGAATAATTTTTTATTCTATATATTGAATACATTTTTTTATTTAATTCAACAAGAATTACTTGTAATCTAGAATCTGAAAGTCAATTTTTTTCAGTAGTCATTGGTTTGAAAAAAAAAATCTATGTCCTGGGAAGAACCAGCAAGAAACCCAGCGGCAAGAAAACCAAACTTTTTTTTAAAAAATAAATTTTACGATGTCTATGGTCACAAAATATTTACAAAATTTATTTTAGAAACAGCTTGAAAGCGACCACCTCATTCACAGGGGTTATTATTATTATCAACCATGTATACATTTATATCATAATAACCTTTTTTATACAGTTTTTGTTTAATTAAATATTTAAATTTGGTAATAGGGAAACCTTGCACATTTTCTGGGACTTTATTGTAATAGCGTGTACATTGCCCAAAGAATAAATTACTGACTCTGTGGAGCCGAGAAACTGATAAACATGGAGAAACATAAATCTCATCATTATTGCAACTTGTAAATAGTTATAGAAAAATCAATAGTCTATATAGTAGCCTGTATAGCCTAGATCACACTAACCGTGGAGTGATGGTATAAGAATATTCACTACTTGTTATTGTACTTAATGTGTCGTAGCAGGCGACAAGGGAGGAAGAAAACTAAAACAGGAGAGGGGTAGCAGAATCTTCCCAATAACAACTCAAAATTATAAAAAAGCTGCTGTCGCAAACCTGCCTACCATATGTGGCGACTATGGCAAAACCTTTTTGTGAGACAATCCATGGGGTAGACTTGTATTCAGCAGTGGACTTTTAAAGGCTGTAATAAATTGAAATTTAGAAAAAATTATTGAGATAGAGAGAGTAAATTATTGTCTACTTACACAAAGTCGGTATCTCCTTTCAAATAGCCCAGTTTCTTCAGCGGAGTGGAGGCTTGAACGCTCATCACTCTCCTTAGTCCAGGGTATGAATCCACGCGGGATTTAAAGAAAATCTCTTTATCCTTAACTTGCGGCATGTCCACCTTAAAATGTAAAATTGTTCTGTATGAAACAGTAGAACCAGAGTGAACGACATAGCCCAACGGATTACTAAGCTGAAGTGGCAATGGGCCGGCGATATAGCTGGAGAGCCGACAACCGATCGTTTAAAATACATCAACATACAACTGATGAGAAAGAAAGTCTGAGTGACAGCCTCATACTGGTAGATGAAGTGTAGGGCGACCCTCCACTAGATGGAGTGACGACCTGGTAAGACATGCAGGAAGTCGACGGATGCAGGTGGCTCAGGACCGTGCTTTGTGGCATTACTTGAGGGAGGCCTATGTTCAGCACTGGACTTGTGAAGGGCTGTAAAAATGATGATGAACTTTTAAAAGAGTAACTTTGTCAAGCATAAAAATGAAATAACAAACAAATGTCAATTGATTTTATGCATATTTAATAAAATTATTACCAAATTCTTTGGACATCTAAATAGCAAAAAGGATTTTATATGTAAATAATTTCGTTAATGGTTTATTTTAAAATCAGCATGGCTTATAATTTTCTTCTCATTCCGAATTATGTATTACATATATACGAAATCGAAAATTTTGCAGTGGTCTAAACATGTACTACATAATTAACTAGATACATAAGTGTACATTATCTATGTATATAAAAATTAATTGCCGTGTGTTAGTATCGCAAAAATCAAAAAATAGCTTGACCGATTTTGATGAAATTTTGTGTTTGTGATTAAGTTAATTCGAGAATGGTTTAATTTCACAATTCAAAAAAAAATTTTACAATTTCAAAAATCTGGTAGGTGGCGCTGTTGTCGAGATCCAGAAATCACCCGAGTGAAGCCGGGGCGGATCACTAGTAACAAATAAAACATACGCGTATACTTAAATAACTTTTGTTCGTTAAAAAAAATAGTTGTGGTCAAAATATAATATTGTTATGAGATGATTAAGAGATAATTGTGTATTGTATACAAAATATACAAACTTTGAAATTAATATCGGTGAAGTTGCTCTCCAGTTCCACTTTGGCGTGTACAGTGGCTTCCACCGGGCCCACGACGTGCGCGGATAGTCCGTACACAGTGCGACTCGCCTCGAACTTCATTCGTACTCTGATCTGTTGCCCTTGGCCTTTGGGAATCAGGACCAGCGAGATCTGAAATAAACATATATTATAATGAAATTGTGTTCAATAGCCCAAAAAAATCTACTAATGCATATAGCCCTGATGAGATTTTCTATAATCGATACTATGCGAAAGTATACTTTTAGTTTAATAATTAAATTTTATAAAATATAAAAAAAATCATATAATATAATAGGTTCTTAACAATAATCTATCTAAAATAATATATCAGGACTCGATTTCTTTGATACACTTGCCCAAACTTAGAAATCTATTAAATTATGTCGAGATTTTTTGAATGTTACTTGTACATTTTACTAATTAGATTAAGCAATTTTTCAAATTCAAAGTGCCACTAGAATTTCGCTTAAATAGTAATTAGCAGCTGAATTTCATCCTCTATTTTTCCTACCTCATGGAGATTATCTTTTTTTTTTGTGATATTTTTCTTCAAATTCAAATGGGATCTTCGATATAATAATTCAATCTATTTCATAAAAATATTGTTAAAATCGGTTCACAACTACCGAAAATATCGCTTAACGAACATCAAAAAATACAGAATCATCTTTTTTGAAGTCGATTAAAAAGATTTTTGCGCTACTATTGGGTAATTATAATACTTATAAGAATCCAACCGATCAATTAAGCTTCGGTCTAAGCCAAAGATTAGAGCAAAAGTCAAACAATCGGCTTCAACTTCAACCAAATATTGGACTTTGTTCATGCACTAGTAAATACACTATTGTAAAATATAAGTGATTTTTTATAGAAGAGGGGGCAAACGAGCATGCGGCTCACCCGATGGTAAGTGACCATAAACAACCGAGTCCATAAACAACCGCAACACCAGGGAAATAACAGGTGCGTTGCCGGCCTTTTAGAAAGGAGTAAGGTCTTTTCTTGAAGATCCCTAAGTTGTATCGGTCGGGAAAAATCGCCGGTGTAAATAATTCCACAGAGCAGATGTACGAAGAAGAAAACTTCCAGTAAAACTCACAGTGGTGGACCGACAAGTATCGAGATGGTGTGGACGGTATCGTGAATTTTGTCGCGATATGCGTTCAATTTTCGATATGCAATTTGGCGGCTGGAAGTAATCCGAACAATTCCTCAGAGCATTTCCCGTGGTAGATGCGATAGAAAATACTGTTACGCGCTCAAGTCGACGATACACTAGCGCCATCTAGTGTCAGGAACGAGAGCGAGGGGAGCATTGAGAAAATGACATCACAAATCACTCAACCGACAGCGCCTAGTCGAAACTCGAACGCTCGGTACCTTGCGCGTGTTTACTTGAACATTCTGGATATTTCTTTGCTAATTTAAATAAGTAGGCGCTGCAAGATGCGATCGGGAGCAGAGTTGAACTCGGCGACACAAGCGAAGCTTCGGAGCGGAATTAAGTGAATTAGTGTGTTTAATTATTAGTGTTTTTAGTTTTCATTTGTGTAAAGTAAATTAAAGTGTTAATTTAGGTAATTTTATCGGCAATTTTTATTGTCACAAACCTCAAGCTCATAACAATTGGTGTCAGAAGTGGGATAAAATAATGCCGATTTTACCTAAGGAGGAAACGGAGGGTGTCCGTACCCGAAGTCAACGCCAGCAGGAGACGGACCAACGAAGATTTGGTGGTGCAACGCCGCAGACGTCGGAGGACCAGCCACCGGCTGCAGGCCCGTCGGTAGCTCCTACATCTGCAGTACCTGACTTAGGTGCTCTGATGGTGATGCTGCAGGAGCAGGCTCGCCGACAGGAGGAACAGGTCCGTCAGTTGAAAGAGCAGCTGCAGAGCGGACAAGAGGAACAGGCCCGTCAGCAGGCGGAACAGGCTCGTCGGTAGGAAAAGCAGATGCTCCTCATGAAGGACCTTCACGCTACCTTTGGGAAAGAGATAAGGGACGTGAAGGATAGGGTTGCTCAACACGACAACCGCCTATCGGAAGCTGAAACCCGAATCGAAGAACATGAAACCCGAATCAACCATGTGAACAATCGGGTTGACAACGTAATGGCTGACGTGAGGAAAACGCTAAACGACCTCAAACTTGCGGATGGAACTACAGCTCCCGTAGTAGCTGCAGCACCTTCGCTACGTGGATTCAAAGTGCCGCCGTTCGACGGGACCTCTTCCTGGTCGGCCTACAAAATCCAGTTCGAGGCCGTCATGGAGGCGAACGGCTGGAATAAAAGCCAAGCCATAACTGCACTCACCCTAGGCCTGCGCGACCAAGCCTTAACTGTGTTGGAAGCCCTCGGTAAGAAAGTGACCTATGAGCAGCTTCTTGAGGCCTTGGAAGCGAGATATGGCGACGCTCATCTGGAACACGTCTTTCGCGCGCAGCTTAAAGATCGCGTGCAGCGCAGCAACGAGAACCTGCAGCAGTGGGCCCTTGAGGTGGAGAAGATGGTTCGAAAAGCATACCAGTCTGTACCTGCGCTCATTGAAGGGAACCTGGTTCAGACATTCATCGACGGCATCCGTGACCTGGAAGTCAGAGCTGCTGTGAGGCTCGGGCACCACGAGACGCTTAAGAACGCCTTGGCCCATGCACTGGAGGTGGAAGCCGTGCGGCAGGATCATCGTTCCCATCGCGTCAGGGAGGTTGCAGCAGCTACAGTTCGCGACCACAACAAAGGATACAGCCCAAAGTGCTATGGCTGTGGGCAAAAGGGCCATCTTCGATCCAGCTGCCCTAAGCGAACCGTGGAAAGGAGAGTTGATCGATCTCGAGAGGGTCGTGCAGCTAATGGCACCGCCTAGCGGTGGCAGGATCGTCGTCCCCCTAGCGCTAGGGTGGTTGCCGCAGTTACGGTTCGCGACCACAATAAAGGATACAGCCCCAGGTGCTATGGTTGTGGGGAAAGGGGCCATATTCGGTCCAGTTGCCCCAAGCACACCCTAGGAAGGGAAGGTGAACGGTTTCAGAAAGGAAGTGCGGCTAACAGCACCGCCCAGCAGCAGCAGGAATACGACTACTATCAGACACTGCAGCGGGAAATCTCACGGCAACGCAGATGCATTGTCAAGAAGACCTTGTCCTGAAGATTGCAACCATTGTAGTAGGCAAGAGAGTAAGGAGGTGGTATCCGTGAGGATGCTCAGGACAGACCACCTCAGCAACGGGTGGAAGGACAACCTACGACATGCACAGCAGGAAGATCCGGACATCAAGCCGATTCTGGGATGGATGAAGGCCCGTGCTACCAAGCCTAAGTGGAGGGACGTCTCAGCGATGAGTTCAACCACGAAAAGCTATTGGGCCCAATGGGACAGCTTGCTGATTCAGGATGGATTCCTGTGCCGTAAATGGGACAATGGTCGAAGAGACAGCTGTCGTTTGCAAATGGTTGTCCCTAAAGCTAAAGTGCCGAATGTTCTACAGTTATGCCACAATGGTCGTTCAAGAGTCCATCTGGGAGTTAAACGAACTCTACTGAAGGTCCGAGAACAGTTTTACTGGGTCCATTATCGTGACGATGTCGAGGATTGGTGTCGTACATGTACAAGTTGTGCGGCCGTGCGGGGACCTCGGACACGTAGTAGAGGAGCACCGAAATTGTACAATGTTGGTGCACCACGGGATAGGACAGCCCTTGACATTGCGGAGCCGTTACAGAAAGGCGCAAGAGGGACTCCTAAGATCGTCCATGTGAATCGCTTGGCGCGTTATTATGGGGCCGATAATGCTCGGGACGAGCAAGTCGACGATACACTAGCGCCATCTAGTGTCAGGAACGAGAGCGAGGGGAGCATTGAGAAAATGACATCACAAATCACTCAACCGACAGCGCCTAGTCGAAACTCGAACGCTCGGTACCTTGCGCGTGTTTACTTGAACATTCTGGATATTTCTTTGCTAATTTAAATAAGTAGGCGCTGCAAGATGCGATCGGGAGCAGAGTTGAACTCGGCGACACAAGCGAAGCTTCGGAGCGGAATTAAGTGAATTAGTGTGTTTAATTATTAGTGTTTTTAGTTTTCATTTGTGTAAAGTAAATTAAAGTGTTAATTTAGGTAATTTTATCGGCAATTTTTATTGTCACGAACCTCAAGCTCGTAACAATACTAAGGGATGCAACATCCCCACGCAGCGCCAGTGAATTGAGCCGATCAGAAAGAACTCGTACGTCGACGATACGAACCGCTCTGCGCTGGATGCGGTCAAGTGGAAAGAGCAGGCACTGGAGTGCCCCGGGCCAGAGATGAGAACAGTATCACATATACCATGCGAGTCGAACTTGCGCTTTGTAAAGTTGCAAGCAATGTGCCGGCATGAAATACAGTCCCGCTCTGTTCAGCTTTTCAAAGGCTAATTTGCCCTTCCCTCCCAAGTGACCACGAAACTGCACACTATTCGATAAGTCTACGCCGAGTATTCCGATGCTAGCTGAGGCAGCAAGGGGTGCAAGTAGTGCCTTAAAACTGAAGAGATACGACAAGGGGGTTCTTTTTAGCGGTAAACGCACAAACTTGTGTCTTCTAGGGATTGAACTGGACTAAATTTAGTCACACCCACTATTGTTCAGCTAAGACTCGACTTCAGACACAAGTTTGTTCCGATACTCGGCGACGTTATCCCGAGCATAAAGCACGGCTTGGTCGGTGTATAAAGCATCACTAGTGCTGTCGTCCGCATATCACAAACGCTGTTTATTCTGTATATCATTGATATACAGAATAAACAGCGTTGGTGATAGCACGCAGCTTTGTGGAACGCCAGCATTAATTGGCTTTTACTCAGAGCATGCACCTTCCAATACGACCTTGATGCTCCGATCAGTAAGGAAACTAGTGATACAATTGCACAATTTCTCGGAAAGCCCATAGGAAGGGAGCTTCTAAAGAATCGCTTCGTGCCAGACCCGTTCGAAAGTCTACGCTATGTCCAAACTAACTACTAATGCCTCCCCCTTGGACTCTACTGTCCCCTCCCATCTATGTTAGGCAGACCAGAAGATAACCAGCTGATCGACCTCGACGAAAACAGTATTGGCGGTCGCTATTTAGCTGGTGGTCCTCAATGTACCTCATGAGCTGGCAGTTTATAATAGATTCCTTTATTTTGGAGAACATGGAGGTAATGACGATAGACCTGTTGTTGGATGGGTCTGAGCGGTCGCCTCTTGTAGGGATCGTGTGGATCAAAGCTGTCTTCCATGAATACGGGACTACGCCTTGCATGTAGGAGTACCGCAAAAGACACGTAAAAACCGGTGTCGGAACTCCGGAACACACGTCTTCAGCACAATAGCACGGACTATAGAGCATCCATCCAGACATGGATGCCAGATGTGCGGTTTACACAGCGCACTCACACCGCGTGATGGTCAGCGGTGTGTTATCCCCGTCATCGAGAGTCGAGTTGGACGCAAAGAGAGAGTTTAACAGATCGGCTTTCTTCTTTGCGCCATAGGCCAGTGAGTCGTCGTCTCTGTGCAGAGATAGCTGACAGAAGTTCCCTTGGACAGCCTTGGTAAGAGAGACCAGAATGCACGAGTTCCCGAAGGAAGGTGCTCAGACATTGCCTTGGCAATGACTTTTGAAGGACCTGGAGGTGGAATTATGCATATTTTTAAGAGCGCTGGAGTTTTTCGAGATTTTAGTACGTCAGCCCAGGCCCGGTAGCAATGCTGCTTAAAGCGTGATTATATTTTACAGGAGCGACCAAACCATGGCAGGGATCTGCCTCCGATGGCCACTACAGAATATGGAATAAAAAGTTTCATACCTTGTAGTACCACATCAGCGATAGAATCAGCAACAACGCTGGGATTGTCCGGCAAGAAGCAAACCAGTCCCCAAGGATAGGATGCAAAAAAAGACCGAATCCTATCCCAATCGGCAGACTTATAGTGCCAAACACAGCGCCTGCAGACTGCCGCCGTGTTTAGTACTATAAGTATGCAATCGCGACGTTAGTGTGAGTGGCACCACACTCCGGACAAGACAATGGTCCGAGGAGCCAAGAGAGGCGTTGACGGAAATTTGATATCCGTCTGGGTGAGAGGTTAGCAGAAGGTCCAACATGCATCCTCCATATCTGGAATCCGGTAGGCGAAGTAACCAGTTAATATGCCAAAGCAAATTCATAAACAGGTCTTCCCGCATTATCGATTAAACGTGAACCCGAGCCATTTGGCGTGATAGGCGTTAAAATAGCAAAGAATTACGATCTCTGCGGATGGGATCTGCTGTAGCAACGAATCTGTAGCCACTTGGACGTGGTCGATGAGTCGGTCTGTTTCGGCATAACCGCTATGGGACCTATAGAGGCACCCGTAGACGCGCGGATGGTCGTCGCTGTCGTAGACAGGTCCGTACCATCAAGACTGCCGAGGCGTCGAAAACAGATGTCGTTTCTGACGTCACAAACTCCAGTCTGAGGCACAAGAGTCTTCTAATTTGTACCCGGGTTTTTTTTATAGAATAAAAGTGACAAACAAGCACACATTCCACCTGATGGTAAGTGGATGCTGTGGCCCATAGACATCTACATTTAACTTCAATTAAGAATCAAAATGCAGATGCGCTGTCACCCCCGAGGACTGAGACGCCATGCCTCATTTCCAGTAAAAAGGGTATCCGTTTCACTACACTCACTATATGAAACACAGCAGCATTAAGCTGCTATTTTACGCTGGTATTCTGTGAGAGTGTGGTCCTTCCCCGGTCAAACCGACCCATTCGTGCTGCAACCACAATAGTTGTAGCATGGCTCTACCACGTAAAAGGGTACGAGAGATATGAAGTATCAGGCGCAGAGGACACCCGAGTCTCAGTTTAAAATAGCAAGGCCTGCTTCGCCGTCTCCAGGTGGTAATGGACAGCATTAAGGTTTGAATGAAGTTCCTTGATGTTGCAAAAATTCACGGAAAGCGTGACGGCTTGCCTCGAGCAATTTTAATAGCGAGTAGGTTCCCCCCTCCCCTCCCACAAACAGAATACGCGGGCAGTCTGAGCACCCACGCGCGGGAATAGTAAGGGAGCTTGGGCGTGGACAGCGTGGGCAGTGGGCCTAAGGCCACCAGCACTTACCAAATGAAACGCAGAAGTAAACTTCTACTTCACGCTGGTATTCTATGAGGTCGTGGTATCCACCCCGGTTCGAACCGGCCCACCCGTGTGACAGCAAAAGCTGCCGCATGGCTCTACCAATGTTAAATGTTGAAGTTTTTTTTTTTTAAATTTTTTTTTTTTATTTCTTTGCATAGTTTTATGGTTTTACTGTGGTGCGTCGTTGTTTCTGGTTTTACTAAGGAATTACTAATAGAGAAATAACATAACAGAGAAAAAGCAAAATAAATTACTTCAAGCGGCTGCCTGTTAAGTACTTTGCCAGTAATACTGTATTCCGTCGTATCCGTAACAAACGATCCAATTACGTCATCCTTGTCGAATTTGGTGATTATTTTCATTGCTCTGAAAAAATAAAATAAAGAAGGTATGCCTTCTTTTATTATAATCGACTAGGAAAGAATCACGTTCGCATTATATACATAATGTCCTCCAGACCGAATTTCTGTCCCGGCGGCCAGCCTCAACGAAGGCTTGCCATCGGCGCAGGACAGGATTATAGTGCCCAAGTGTATGCGCGAGCACAGGTGCACTCTCTCTTCCCTCACTCTCATAATCCGATGGGACGGTAAACCGACACGACCGGAGAGAGATTAGGGCGCAGGACCAAAGGCTTTTCGTGCTTTCCGAGGCACGGGGGTGAGACACCGCTAACTTCCTGATTCCGGGCAGCTACTGAGAAATTCTTGACAGAAATACTCAATAATTGATTTTTTTGGCCCGAGCCGGGATTCGAACCCAGGACCTCATGATCAGCAGTCGCACTACTACAACCACTAGACCAACGAAGCAGTCATTATATACATAATAAATATATAAATAAATAAATAATGTTAGCGTTAAATTATGTAACGCTGCAGTTTTCCATATGGTATGACATAAACAAGGGGTTCTTTTCTGCTAACAAGGCACTCCATCGTAGTCCGTAGTGACAACATAACGCAGATTATGATTATCAATGGAGAATATTTATAGATGTTTGCGGCAAGCCAAGCCCAAGGAATACAAAAAAGCACGATCATGAGTTGACTGTATCCATCGATTTCCTGCATGTCATACCAAGTCGTTATTCCAGTGAATAAGCAACCAAATAGTCAAGTATAAATAAGTAAGTAAACAGTCAAGTTAGAATTAGAATATCTGTCGCTCGAGAGCCTTTCTTCCTCATTGGTTGTCACTTCTTCGAGCTATATGGCCGGCATTACATAACATCAAAGGGACATTATTATTTAATTCTATTTACCTGAATCCTTTGTGCGGACTGCTTAGCGCTACACTGAGCGAGGTCGGTCTCTGGTCTGCTTTCAAGGAATAATAGTTTTCTGCTGTAGTGAAGTCCAAGGTGAGGGTCTTCTGGGTGTTCTCGTCACTGTACTGCAGCAGCAGGTCAGAAGGCGCCAGCACTGGCACTAAAGCCCCGCGAGCTTTGAACCGCACGTGTCGCGATGGCGGCGGTCGCCACACTGCGTCCGCGAATAGCTGCAAATGTTTGCAGTGTCTTTATAATGTGAAAATAATGTATAAAATATACGTTATAGAAGTCTACCTTGTCAGATCAGAGGGGGAGGCCTGTATACAGAGGTGAGATGGGGTGGAATAAAGGCTCTAACTTTACGTTTACAATAAATAATATGGAATAGGCTTTGTGACTAATGTGGTTCAGACTAAATTTTGGTCACGGTGGTCAGTCTCAACGGAGATTCTGATCTGCACACGACAGGAAGCACAGGTGCACTCTCTATGCCTTCACTTCCGATGGGACGGCAAATCGACACGATCTTACTGACTTCCGAGCTACTATCAAGAAATGATAGAAAAACTCAATAACTGAATTTGGTCCGACCTGGGATTCGAACCCTTCGAAACCGTCGTACCTCTTTATCAGCAACCGCGTTTACGACCCCTAGACCACCGCGACCAGTCTTTTTATTAATTATTTATTAATACAGCAAATAACACTATTTGAGTGTTATTTGTATACAAAAGTGAAATGTGTATGCAGAAAATGTGTCTAGTGTGGTCGACTGATGTTTTTTTTAATGAATGGATGGATTGTGATTCACGAACAATCTGCATAAAATAAATTTTGAAATGAAAAAATATTTTAGTGTTGTTACTAGGGCATCCAATCTCGGTATAACGAGATCTCGAAATCCCGCATCATTTTCTAGTCCAGCAGGGTTACGTGTGCGGGATCCGGGGATTAACGGGATTTTAAGGAGTATAAACTGGTTAAATTATTAAAATTATAACAAACACTTAAACCGGCAAAGATCGCGATCGAAGTTCTTTGTCGGCAAGATGCCAGTCTTAAAGCAGAAGCTACTTTCAAATTGATGATCAATAAATTAGAAGTTAGTTCAACATTACGTTGGCTGCAGCGAACCAACTTGACTTATCTATTTATATATATCCAAAGTCCTGGTAAGTACTATCAACAAGTCTTGAAAAACGACGAAACCTTCAGCTTACCTTCGAAAATCCTGCTACGGAAGGAAATAAATGAGTTTGCCCAAAGGATGCATTTCGTAAGGTTCTTTTCACGATGTTGATGAAGGTACAGACTTTATATTGTTGGGGGTTATAATTTATGTTGCAGAAGTGAATGGCAGAGTCGGAAAAGGACATCCTAGGCGAAAGTAAGTTAAAGCCAAGTTAAAGCCGAGGTACATCACCTGGCCTTATCTGATCACGAAACGGGACAAACACTTGCGCTCAAAACGACCAAATCGTATGAAATATGCAGTTGGTATGAGGATGTTAGAGATTATAGTAAAGAAAACATGGATAAGTTCTGTAGCTGCATATCGTCTCTTACTTTCTCAACTGTATACGAAAAAAATAACTTACAAGAGGTGTTTGTTGAATTTCATGATTTATTTAAACTTTTTTTTTGATCTTTGCTTCCCAATACACACAATAAAAAGGGCAACTAAAAAAGGGAACCATAAATGGTTGACAAAGGACATTAGAAAATCATGTATAAGGAAAAGATATCTCTACCTTAGTCAACAATATGATAAAACTAAGGGAAAAATACTCAATAAAAAATATAAATCATATAGTTCCATACTTAAAAAGTGCATATATAAATCGAGACAGATACAAAGTAAGAAATATATCAACAATAATAAAAATAAATGTAAAGCCACATGGGCGGTAATTAATGAAAATATTGACGACCAAAATACGAAAACACAAATTGACAGAATAATAAAAAATAATCGGATATATGACGACCCAAAGAAAATAAGTGACATATTTAATCACTTTTATATAAACTTGATAAATAACAATAATTTTAAATATAATGTTGAGGAAATAAACAAAACTATCACGACTAATAATATCCATACAATATTTCTTAAACCTACGGATGCTATGGAAATATTTCGGATAATTAAAAGTCTTAATAATACGAACGCAGTAGGATTTGATAACATAACAACCACTGCAATTAAATTATCTGCACGATACATATGGCAACCGCTATGTTATTTAATTAATATGTCTTTTGAAGAAGGTACCTTCCCAAGTATATTGAAAAAATCAATCGTTAAGCCACTTTTTAAGAAAGGCGAAAAATACGAAATGAATAATTATAGGCCAGTCACGCGGATACCCATATTGTCAAAAATATTCGAGAAGATTATGCTGAGAAGGCTTCAAGAATTCACGACAAGTCATCGTTTACTGAAAGAGGAGCAATTTGGATTTAAACAGAATAGTACAACCTCGTTAGCGTGTTTTAATTTGATTAAAATTGTCACCCAGGCCATAAATGATGGCCTTCCAGTTGCGGCAATCTTCCTGGACATGAGCAAGGCGTTCGATTTCGTGGACCATAAATTGCTCTTACACAAATTAGAAAAATATGGGATAAGAGGTAAAGCTAACGACTGGTTGAGAAACTATTTATGTGAGAGACAACAATGTGTGGAAATATCTAAAGTCAATAAAGACAAAAAAGTGTTTTACAGAAGCGAAAATCAGATAAATGACTTTGGCGTGCCACAAGGCAGTGTATTGGGACCATTCTTATTCCTCATGTATATTAATGATCTCCCTAATATCACTCGCCATAACACAATCTTGTTTGCTGATGACACAACCCTTATCGTGAAATGCGAAAATGCAGATACATATGAAACAGAGATAAATAAAGCAATCAAAAATATAATAAACTGGCTTTATTGTAATAATTTACAGATTAATATGGAAAAAACTAAAATGATCCAATTTCAGACATACCAGAGAAAACTATTGAATATTAATGTTAAATATAATGATAAGATCATCGAACAAGTAGCAAGTACCAAATTTCTGGGTATTATGTTGGATCAAAATTGCGACTGGAAAACACAAGTCGATTACGTTTGTGACAAACTCGACAGATTTGTCTACGCAATAAAGAGATTACGAGTCACGGTATCAACTGATGCTGCTCTATGTGTATATCACGGATATGTTTCGTCAGTACTATCATATGGTCTTTTATTGTGGGGCAATTCAGTAGATATAATAAAAGTATTTAGAGTACAAAAAAAATGTGTGCGTGCAATCTATGGAGCAGGGTATACGGATAGCTGTAAGCCCTTGTTTAAAAAGTACAATATCTTAACATTAACATGCTTGTACATTAAAGAAATATGCATATTTGTAAAACAGCATCCTGAACACTTTGAAAGGCAAATAGATGTAACTGAACGAAATGTAGCTCCTAGAAATAAACATAAATTATACTTACCTCAATGCAAGCTCAAATTGTATGAAAGGAACTCTTACGTAAATGCTATAAAGGTGTATAACAAAATACCCAACGACTTTAAAGAGTTACCTTTAACCACGTTTAAAAAAAGTTAATACAATGGTTAAAAGAAAAATGTTTTTACGATCTAAACGAATTTATGTCTTTTAGTGGAAAATAAATCCGAAGTCAGTAATATTGATATATATCTAATAATTGATTAATTACAAACAAAATGAAAGTATGGACATTAACACTTAAGAACAACCATTAAACAATGCGACATTTTAATTGAATTCCCACTTGTAATTTTTTTTTGCATGTATACCAATTAAATATTTGCACACCATATAAAATGGTAGAATGTAAATGGGCCATTATGCATAATTTAAGATCATACTATATTGTACACATACATTCTGGCAAATAAATGAATTTGAATTTGAATTTGAAAATTTATCGACCAAATTGGCGATTTATTGAAAACGGGCCAAATTAGGAGTACCCTTAACCGACGAGCATGTATGCGTAGGTATATGGACGCGAAGGAGGCGAGAGAGGTGTGTCAGGATCGTGCCAAATGGAAGTCTGTAGTCTCTGCTTACCCCTCTGGGTGACAGGCGTGAGAGTTTATGTATTTTATGTTCATTTCGTACTTATTATATTTCGTATTTAGTGTTTTAGCATAGGGTTTTATTATAAAATTGTAATGAAAGTTTTTGTGTGAATATAATTTATCTTTTTACGTAAATAATTTTGAGTAATATATATTGAAATAATTGTGATCTTCACGCTGCCGACATCCGCTTGGTATGTTTTGTTTTTGTTATCAAAATACAATAGACGTCTTTTTCTAATGATTTAAAACCTGACTTTTAAATAGAGAATTTTGTATAGATTTTATAATGCCAAACTTCTTCATAGACAAGTAGTCTAAATATAAGTTTTAATGGTTTTAACTGCTGCGGGTGGGTGCGGTCGCATGCGACTACATGGGATTTTTATTGGTATTGAGGGGTTAAGTTTCAAACATAAATGGTTCTGTAGTGTCCCAATTCAATTCCATCGAATTATAAAAGAAATGATTAAGAAATGATTTGAATAGAATATTTGAAGTATTTGGCATCGACATTTAATGCCCTAAAATCCACGAGTATGGAAGCCGAAAGGGATATTTCTCTGTTGCAGGCTATGTAGCGTCGCACATTCGAAGCAGTCTGGCAGACGATACTTTATACTTTGTAAGTTAAAAAATTCGTCGTAAATATTTTCAACAGAAGAAGTCTTAACTTATATTTTTTTTCACTACTTCAGCTTAATAGTTCATTATAATTAAAAGTAATAAATGGTTGTCAAAAATAAATGCTTACATACAAATTTTTGTTTTTAACATATAAATACCTCTTTAATTAACTCAACACTCGGTAGGCAGCTCAGCTCATGTATTTAGCATTCACTTACATTTGCGGGATTCCACAAATTCCGAGATCCACTTACTAAGCGAACAATTACCGTCATAATCGAATTATTTTTACTAAATTACGGGGCCGTCTTATAAATTAAATAAATAAACATTGCCAGTAGGCGGCAGTAGACTTATAAGCTCAAATAAGTTATGTAAAAAATACTTTGTTTGTTACTATTGGTTGTATTGTTGCAATAATTATTAAAAATATGAATTTTATGGAAAAATTTATGATAATTAAAAATATTTCTTAATTACTAATTTGAACTGGCTAATACTGGCTAACACTTTGGAAACCGCGAGATGTACTCTAATGCGAACAGTTGTGATTAAATGTAATATAAGCAGGGATGCGCGCGTACTTTACTCGCTTCATTTGTTGGGCGCTGGCAGAATAACAGCGCTGTAGGCAACTGTAACATTTATGCTGAGCTAGAGCCTATTCATTACTACTCTATGTAATTATGGTTATTTCCGTGTGTACTGCTTACTGTAATTTTATCGGTGGTTATGAATAAATATTTTATTATTATTAATATTATTATTAAATACTTCGACCCCGCCAACACAGAGATTACAAATATCGTGTGGGATTGGATTACCTAGTTATTACAATAAACTACTCACATAATTATTTTGATCGCCTTGTTGAATCTGAATGCCGCCCCCAACCATACTCTCAACGTCAGAGAAGTCCTTTTTAAATTCCATTTTTATGAAATAGTCCTCTAAATACACCGACGTAAGATTCAGACTGCCCGATGTCTCAACAAATGGATCGTCCAGCTGTAAAATTAACCAGGATTATTACGTACTTAATGCGTGCGAGGTACGGCTAATATTGGACTGTTTACATGCAAAGATTATGCTTGTTGGTAAATGATCTATGTAATTTATATTTACGTAAATTTGAATCAAAGTAACTTTTACGATTTTTCATTTGGGTCTTTTTTGCGCGTTATAGTGCTTTGCAGCACATGAGCGTTGTAAATAAAGCCATGTGTGGTTAGTTTTATTCAAAATGATCTAATGGATTAAAAAAATAGTTGCAATTTTTTATTTTTTATGTTGAGACCAAACGCATAACTTTGCAAAATATATCAAAATATTCATCATACAAGAATTACGAAGCCATATATCATAATGAAGTCTAAGAAAAATGTATAATGTAAGCTATTATCAGCAACAGAGAATATTAAAAGCACAACATTAACAGAGAATATAATAAGAAAATAGATATGTAATATTTTAATATTATTATTTCTACAAACATTTTACTATGCTGTCCTAATTGTTATGACGTGATTTTGTCAATATTTACGTGTTACGAGTACGAGACTTATTTATAAAAAGGAACTTATTTTAAGAGTAAAACAAACAATTTCTATTAAAAAATATATTACATACCTCAAGCCTAGCGACAGCAGTGACAGAGAAAGATGGCATGGCAATATCGGCTCCCATTTTCCACAAAGCGTCTTCTAGTCTGGCTGAGACTCTTGCCTCTAAACCTGGCAACACTGCCAATGGGGTTGCTATACCAACAGAAGCTAAATACGACTGGTAAGCGTCATCCTCACCGCATTCGTATTCATAGAAAATTTTGTAAGAAATCTGTGGAATAATAACAAATTCAGATGGTTAAGTTTACATGAAAAATGTTTTAAAAAATTATGATTTTATCGCAAAAAATGAGCCAAATTATTATTTTAAATAGTATTCATATAGAAAATATGCTTACAATATAAAATTAAACAGAAAAAGGAAAATCTATACAGGAATTTATTTAAAAGAGAAGCACATGTTTATTAATTAGTGTAAACTAAATAGAAATAACAATGGCACCTAAAATATTACAATAAAACAATCAAATTGGGCAGTTGTCAGTAAAAGCACGCATTTTTTAACGTGATAGAGCCATACTACAGGTATATTAGTAGTGTAGTTGTACCAGGAATGGATCGGCTCGACCGGGGAAGGACCACGCTCTCACAGAATACCAGCGTAAAATAGTAGCTTAATGCTGCTATGTTTCGTATGGTGAGTGTAGAGAACCAGAGACCCTTAACGCTGTAAACGAGGCATTCCATCTTAGTCCTCACGGGTGACAACGCATCTGCATTTTGATTCGTACTTGAGGATAGATGTAGATGTCTATGGGCCACAGCAACCACTTACCATCAGGTGGACTGTGTGCTCGTTTGTCACCCTACATACGTAACATAATTTTGCTAAAAATAGCGTCTTAAAACTTCGTCGGTTTTTCGTTTTAAGTAAATTTAGAATTTCATTATTTAGAAACATACAAATATAGGTTTGTCCAATAACAAAATCTATAGAATAAAATAATTTTTATTCGACCTCGATCCCAATTAAAAGATACTGAAAGTAATTTATGTCTTTACCAACGGGTTAAAAAAACTGAATGATATGTTTCTCTTTTTTCCTTGTATTTCATTTAAAGTTTTGTTTTGACTGCACGTATTTCAATTGACGTCGCTAACTACCAACCTATTTGAAATAATTGGGTGCGTTTGGCAGAAAAAAGCGCTAGCAAGCGCTTGTAAGCAAAATGGCGATCGTAAGCGGTAAGCGCTGTCAAATCGTAAGTAGCTATTTTCCTCCAGGACACGATGTTAGTTTTAACGGGGGGAACCTAACCTAATTTAAATATATGTTTGTAAAGTATTCATATTAAAAACTTACCAATCATGAATTTTTAATAAAATGTATGTTTATTCATGTCATTATATTACTTAAAACTAATATTGCACAAAACAACTTATAAACTCTACTTCAAAACAAACAAATTAAATAAGCAAAATGGCGGATTGTGTCAGCGCTACTGAAGTAGCAATCGTGTCCTGGCCGAAAACTATTTCAGCGCTTATAAGCGCTTGCTAGCGCTTTTTTCTGCCAAACGCACCCATTATTTATAGACTTACCTCATGCCAGTAGGTTCCATTATAGAGTAAGGCGACGCATGTCACATTGAATTTTTCCCCGAGCGTAATATCCACCGTATATACAGATTTTAACTCTTTTATAGCTTGGAACGGTGTAACTAGGTTTAATGTATTTCTCATCACTGTATATTGCTAAAAGAAAAGAAAGTGCGGTTTGAATAACTATCGTTTCTTAATTTAACTAGATATAAATATAAAACGTTGCTGCACCTCAAAGGGTGACAAGTGCTCCCACTAGCTGACGATCCTGTTTGATGCAGGTGGCTGAGGAAGATGCTTTGGGGCAATCCTTGGGGGTCGGCTCGACCGGGGAAGGACCACGCTCTCACAGAATACCAGCGTAAAATAGCAGCTTAACGCTACTGTATTTCGTATGGTAAATTTAGAGAATTGAAGACCTTTTTTACTGGAAACGAGGCATTCCATCTTAGTCCTCACGGGTGACAACGCATCCGCATTTTGATTCGTAATCGAGGATAGATGTAGATGTTTATGGGCCGCAGCAACCACTTACCATCAGGTGGACTGTGTGCTCGTTTGTCACCCTATTCTATAAAAAGAAACCCAGGAGATGGGCAGGAGCGTCGTCCTAATAACTAAACATAAAAATTGCGATAGTGCCAACGTGTTTGCCAAGCGTGGCAACTATAGCAAATATGGGTAATATTATATACTATGTAATAATCTCCGGGGGAGGCTTATGTTTACAGTGATCTTTTAAGAGGCTGTTTCGGTATTTATACTGGCAAGCAGCAGTGTCTGGACAGAGGAGTACCGGATGTGAGCCATTCAATCCGAGTATTCGTAGGTGGCAACGCATCTGTAGTCTTTTTGGTTTGAAGTTGGCTGTAGGTGTTCATGTTCTGCAGTAGCCCACTTATCATCAGGTGAACTTTAAGTCATTTTGTAGTTTCAATTTTTTTTAAATCAAAAGCATATGAGCTGTTACTGCAAAATGCCACCTTGCAGCCTTGAACTCAGTGGAATCGTGCTAAGAGGATTGTCGGTGATCTTAATTTGGTTAAAGCCAAACTTGTCAGTCTCGATCACAGACGTAGTCAGCCAGTCTCTATAGAATACATTCCGGAAAGTGTGCACAGGAATTAGATTAATTTCAGCTATCCAACATCTGACAACTAGACGGTCGGTCGGTTTTGTTATCTATATTCCACGCATTCGAAGCAAACGGTTTGTTTTATGATTTGTAATGCGTACAGCAAGGTGCTAATTTACCAGCGTTTGTCTTTGCGCCCGAATATAATATGGGTATCTCTAAGGCAAGAGTGAATATGCTTTTGTTTCGCTATGACATTGCAATTTGCTAAAGGCTTCATCACCATATAAACCCAGGGGGGATCGTCTTGAAGTGAGCAAGCCACAAATAAATACTTACCTCCAAAATAAATACATCGGTTAAAACTATAGGTGGTTTTTCAGGCAAACACAACGTAGCATTTGCTTCAAGAATATCCTCTTCATCAGGTCCAACAAACTGAAAGAAAAATGTACAATATTATAATTAACATATTAATAAAAGTTAAATAAAAGTTGCATATGTAGGAAGGTAGTTAAATAGAATTAATTTGCAATCACAAAATACACGGATCACAGCTAATCAACTATAAATTGTACTGAGACTAATTTAATAGCTGATAATAATAATTACGCTTCCACGAATTAATTATTCGAATAGTCTAAGATGAGCTAGCAGCGGGATACAACAAGTGCACCGTGCCACGCCAGAGCCATGACTGCTTTAACGGCGGCCGCTCCGCTCCGGCCGCGCCACTGCAGCTGCAATGCGCAGGTGTGCGGTGCACGTGTTGTTTACAATAATTCCGACTACCTACAAAGGCGCTGCGACATATACAATAGACCAAAAACTAATGTGCCAATTCTTAATTTCTTTTGTTGCCTAGCACGTTGTTAAAGGTGACTGACGAGATATCAAGTTTTTTATTGTGTCGGCGATGCGTAGTTGTGAAAGAAATAATAGGCTTATAGCCTTTATTTCACAACTTTCCGGCCAAACCCCCAAAGCTAAAAGTGGTCAGAGTATATTGATGCTCTTTGAACTCTGACTATCCCTACAGCGAATAAAGTCGCGGCGTTATGTACAAAAAAAAAAACGACGGGTAGCACTCCGACAGTGCCGGCAGAACTGAAAACTTAATAAATTAATGTTGTGCATTTTTGATATTTTGGAATGGTTAGGGAATAATTTTGCACGAATTGCTTGAATTATCAGTAATAAAAGTAATATCATTTATGTGGTAGAGTACAATATTAATATGTATTTATTTGGCTATCATAGACAAAAATGATTTTGTCAGGTATATTATATTAGGTACATTCGCGCAAGCGCCCTGCGCCGCCTAAACAAAACAGCAGGCCGCCGCGCAGTAGAAAGAGAGGGGGATACTTCCACTCCTACGCCGTCCGTCTTACACATTTTCGAACAGGATCACGTGTCCTGACGCGAGTTTAACAATTTTTAACCATTACAGAAAAAGTGTCCAACGCCGCTGAAGTTTTCACTTCAAAAATATATGGAAAAGTTAAGAGTTGGTCTTTATCTAGAAAAAACCAAAGTATAGAATATTTATACGTGGTACAGCCAAGCTGCAGCTATATTAAAGTTGAAGCACGAATGGGCCGGCTCGGCTGGAGAAGGACCATAATGTCATGGAAAAACAGTGTAAAAGGCTTTAATACCATAGACCACATACATATCCTTCGACATATTGTATAGAAGACCGAAGAGTACAATATTATGCCACTTTTCCTGGCGTATGTGGACTATGAGAAAGCCTTCGATTCCGTCGAAATTTGAGCGTCGCAACAATCCTTCCATGGGGCCAAGTTGACTGTCGGTGTATCGAAGTGCTGAAGTGTTTGTACAGAAGGGCTACGATGGCTATCCGAGTACAGAACCGGAGTACGAAACTTATCCTACTGCAGTGAGGTGTTAGACAGAGTGACGAACTCTTCACTGGAAGACGTTTTCAAGCTACTGGACTGGAAAGGATACGGTATTAACATCAATGGCGAGTACATCAGTCACCATCGATTTTCCGACGATATAGTCCTTATGGCAGAATTGCTGGAGGACCTAAGCACTATGCTTAATGACCTCAATAGTGCCTCCCACCGCATAGGTCTTTCTACGGCCTAGGGTTACCCTGATAAAGGTCGTTGAACTCGGGCCCATCAGGAGTCCAACTCGACGGGTAACAGAAGGTCGAGCCCAAAATGGCCTATGGATAAATAAATTAGAAAGGTTAGGTACGCAACACATAAAACTTACCTAATTCCAGAAGTGGGGTTAACCTCAGGCATAGTCAGGTGAAGGTGATGTGCGTGTAAGTGGTGTTCAGAATTGTGTTTTAATGTGTAACCTGACATCCCCGCTGATCCTAAACAGCAGATCCCAAGGCTTACCTCCCTCCAATGTGGGATCCATCCAAGGGGCGTTCAACGATGGAAAACTTCCGCTCCTACTTTCACTATATTAGTTTATCACTTTATGTACAATTAATTAACTTCAAGTTCAACCAAAACAAGTTGATCGACGTTAAGCAGAGACACGCGGCACAACTCAAGGACGGTTGATCAAAGTTCAATGTCCCAGGCTCACGTAGCACAAAACTACTAACGCGTCGATGCAATTAACGACATAAAAGTTCCTTTAATCACTACAAATTCCAAGTAGGTCGTCACGTAACACGTTCAAAACAGTCACTAAATACGAGGCGGTCTAGGTTATATTCTAATATTCAATAGTAAAGTCAAAATGGCGCGCACACGTAACACAAATTTTAGGCATTCGAATCAACACCTGCCGCGCAAAACCGTATGAGTCACAAAACATACCTCAACGCATAATCGACCCGGGCGCAAACAAACTAAAGAAATAAGCCTAGTTATCAAGTTACGTACTAATATAAGATAACATAAGTAGGGCGGCCTTTCGACGCACAATTATTTTCTCGCTTTACCGGAACGCCGGCGTTCAACTCGCGCGGTCCCACCGCTCAAGGCTTCCGCCGACCGCCGTCCGTCTTCGCGGCCGACTGCGACTGAACTGCACGTACGATCCAGCTAGCCTCCGCTTCCCGCACCACGCTAACCGTCCCTTCACCCCGCTCGAGACTATCGGGCGCGAACAGACGAACATGGACAAAACAAAGATCATGTGTAACGTGCATATCACACATATGCCGTTAGTTGTTGGGAACACTAAGCTCAGGGATACCTGGGATAAATAGTCCGACTAGGTAAGTCCAACTTCGACCGAAAAGTCAATCGACGGATTCAACTCGACTGGGCAGCGTTCAGGAAATTACCATACATCTTCTCGTCAGCTATAACCTATATATACCTCAAAACCTGAAAACGAGATTGTATAACCAGTGCGTGTTGCGAGTGATGACATGTGGTCTGAGACGTGGTCCTTCACTGCTGGCCGTATGAGAACGCTCAAGGTCACTCAGCGAGCTATGGAGAAGGCTATGCTCGGGGTTTCTCTGGGTGGTAAACATAGAAATGAGGATATCCGCAGTAGAACCAAAGTGACCGACATAGCCCAACGGATTTGAAAGTTGAAGTGGCAATGGGCCGGCCATATAGCTCGAAGAACCGACAACCGATCGTTTAAAATACATCAACATACAACTGATGAGAAAATAAGTCTGAGTGGCAGTTCGTACGGAGATGAAGTGTAGAGCGGCCCCCCACTAGATGGAGTGACGACCTGTTAAGACATGCAGAAAGTCGATGGCTGCAGGTGGCTCAGGATTGTGCTTTGTGACATTCCTTGGAGGAGGCCTATATTCAGCAGTAGACTTGCGAAGGGTTGTAATGATGATGATGAATGATATTTTTTTTTTTTTTTTTGATTGAATTTTTTACCGTTTGAAAAAATAGAGTGTAACAGGTGAACGGAATAGGAGCCTATGGCACTGATATTTTACAATTATTTTTATTTTACATTAACATATTATGAAATTGATCTATTAATAAATACTACTAATTGGGTACGTATTTATTTTAATTTCATTGGTATTTAATTGATTTATTTATTTAGTTCCATAATTTTGTTCTTATTTTTTAGTACCGAATATTAATTTCAAATTAGTCAAAAACAGCAATCAAAAAATTTAAACACGAGGAAAACAGAAAAATGAGTTTTAATAAATGTGTAGTATTCGTATAAATTTAAAAATCATTGATAAAAAACTAATATAGAAAACAAATTGTCTCTAAACTCTCATTATAGCAAATTCAAATTATAATGAATTAACTTATTATAACTAAAAAGATCGTGCCAACTGCCAGCCAATCTGCTTTGCCTTTACTATAACAAATAATAGTTTAATTAATATAGGAACAGCTGAAATTCCTTACCTTCATCATATGCGAATGGAATGTTATTGTAGGATAATACAGTGTATCAAGCACAACACTGGCTGTAGTGTCGAAATTTTCTACAAACATATCCGGGTCGCCGGGCTTGTGTCGAAAGCGATCATTTAGAACGTCTAGCAACCCCTTGCCGTTGTCGACCAGAAGGATCGCTATGCCGAACTGGAAAGAAAGCACTTTGAATAAATAAGTTTTTATGGTAAATTATTAATACAGTAAATAAATACACGAAATAACTATTTTCATATAAGTATCTATTGTAGGAGAAGGGAGAACCCAAGTATAGCAGTGAACTGGTTTACGGGTAAAATGTAGATGATGATGATGTAAATCTTATTATAATTATGTCCTCATGCCTTTCGTTGGTTGGCTTTGTATCATTACCATAGAATGCTATAATACACAATAGAATGGCTGTTAAACTTATTTTGTACGAGGATCGGCGTCGCCGGGAGCACTCATACAAGCAATTACGTAGTATTATCAGTTATCTCTACTACAAAGCCGATTCGCTGTGTTGACAGACTGAGCGAATTTCCCCATTTTAGACTTTTGATTAATTCTTTTGACACATCAATATTTCGTTATTTTTGTTTCTAATATTCATAAAATATAAATAGTTTTGACTCACCGGTTGCAGGATATGTCTACTTTATTTAAATTCCATTTTCCGCTGTTTTTCCGACACGTAATAATTGCACAATTTGCCATTTTTAAATAATTTCGCATGCAGCGACGCTTGACACGAAAATTGGAAACGATTGATTGTGTTGACATTTATAGGTGTGAATTGACATGTTAGTGGCTACAAAGCTCCGCTCACTCCCCGTTCTATTATGTATGTACTATAGTATTCTATGATCATTAACGTGCTTCCCCACAGATTGCCTCCTAGGCAACGCTTTGCATTCGGGTTGGCAAACGCAATTTATTATTATTAGTCGTTATTAGAAATACGCTGCTGCCCCTTTCCTTATTTGTTTATCTCTGTCGCCTCTTACGACACTTACGGGATGGTATTTTTGCACCGCCACTACGGCAGTACAACCATCTCGTATATTTCATATGTAAAATATCCAGTCCGGTGGCAATTCAACTGCTAAACGTCGCGATTAAAGTAAACTATGAAAAATATGGAAAAGAAACCATGTACTGGTACTGTTACGGGTTGATAAAAAAGGGGTAAAGAGAGATCTAAGTGCTTGAATTAAAATATTTTCATTGTACGCGGACAAACAGTTTACCCCCACTGGCACTAATGAAATTTGATGTAGTTACGAATCCAAAAACATTTTATGAGGGTAGATGAACACTTTTTCTTAGTTTTTATTTTATTTTTATCATTATAATGGATTTACGATGCTAATATAACTGCCATGGATGACTAAATAAATAAAAAACTAACAATTTTCCTAATACATATACTGAAACCAAATTAAAATTCTGGTGATACCAAACAGCACTATCAGAGCTTCGCACAATTCGAGTACGGGGAAAGTGCCTCTACCTTCAGCTAGAATTGAAAACCAGTATTATTACGCTTTGACACTTTTATTTATTCTAATACAGGCTCCCCTTTCCAGTACGGTTCCGGTTTGAGTATTTTAGGATTTAAGTCGAAGGCGCAAAACTTTCATGGAGTTGTATTTTAACTGTATTTTTACATTACTAATACAATATTAGAATATGATATATAAATTTATAACTATATGTAATCTTCTCATCACAACTTTCGACCAACAAAGAAATACTGGGTTGCCTATTATCAATATAAAGTAAAAACACGCATTGATCACATGCACACACACATAAAAAACCATTTGCAAACATGTGTGCGTTCAGCAGTGGACTTTTTTCCCAATGAATAAAGCAAGATGTGTGCGTAAGTGCGTTGAAATTGAGCATGCTTTCGAAGTCACTTAAAATGTGCGCAACGCTTCATTTACTTTTCTTCATTGATGTGAGTCAGTAAAATGATTCTGTAACTATCACTATATAAATTCAAAAAAGTTAGAAAAAGTTTGGCTTGTATATCGGTAAAATAAAAGTTACTAATGGTTCTCATCAAGCTTTCAGTTCTCGTTCTAGTAGCGGTACTGCTAAATACCGGTATTTATTTTATTAAATATTTATTGCATTCCCCATTAAAAAGTATAAATATCCTACATCTTATTTCTGGAGCTTTTCAGCCTCTGTTCAGTGTAGATAACTTCTGGATTAAAGAAAGTACAATGGAGACACCTACCTTGTGTTTGGACAGTCGCATGGAGAGTTCAGTGTCGAGCCCGTTACCGAAGACATTTTTAAGTACGAGACCGTTTTCCTCGAAGCCGTCGAGCGGCGTGTACAGCTTGTAGACGTACACAAAGTTCAGTAACGACCGCCAGTGCCAGATGCCCGTGAACCCGAAGTCCATCTCCGCCCAGCCCACTCTAAAGTCCACCTGACGGCAAAATAAATGATTTCAACAATCATTATCTTTTTGTCAATGTACTTTTTATATCACTAATATGATTGGTAGATACGATTTTTAGGGACAAAACGTTAGATTCTTGATTTTTAGGCGCTAGTAGAACATACCTAAGCGCTTTGCACTTAAGGCTTGTAAAACGGTAGTTATAGAAACAAAGACATAATTGATAGAATCAGGCGTTATTTTGCGGAAATCCATTATGATAAAGATATTAATATTTTGCAACCATCCGCTAAATTAAATAAAATGAGGTGTCTTCCCTAGTTTGAAGATCACCTCCCGCCCTCGGAGCCCTCGGGAGGGCGGCGGGAGGTGCTCTTCAAACTAGGTAAGACACATCATTTTGTTTAATTTAGCGGATGGTTGCAAAATAACTATTAATATCTTTATTATAACAAAGACATAATTTTCCCATATCGAACCGCTCGTAAAAGGTGATATAGAAAAAATGCCTAAAAGATCTTGTAAAGACCACATAGATGACGGCATAATTATATTGTATTTATAACAATACATAATAACTCTCACAATATATAAAACTTAATAAAATACTAGCGTAAGAAACAGCTTAATGCTGCTGTTTCATATGAGTGCAGAGAACCGGAGACGCTTTTTAGCTGAATTGAGGCATTCCATCTTAGTCCTCACGGGTGACAACGCATTTGCATTTTGATTCTTAATTGAGGATAAATGTGGATGTCTATGGGCCACAGCATTCACTTACCAACAGGTGGACTGTGTGCTCGTTTGTCACCCAATGCTATAAAAAAAACAAGTACAATACTCAGATTGGTGTGTTAGAAGCCAAGCGAAAATAGCATCCCTCATCTCTAGGTTATGTTCCGAAGCGTTTCCAGTATAATACCGAATACAAATGACGCCATTAATTGACGCCATATGGTACTGGCGTGCCGCCGCCATATTGTGTCGGATATCCCGACATATTAAAACAATTTTTAATTGTGTGTACGCTGAATGAAGAACGCCAGAATTTGTTTTTATTTATTCAAATACAAAAAATTATAGCATGTTTGCTGGTATCTCCATTAGGAGGATATAATAACTTTTGGAGCACAAAATGTCAAAATAATCGCCAACACTTTTCCAATATGACGCAATGTATGATGTCATATGTGTAGGATATCCGTAATATTCATTAGAAGTGGTTGGGTGCGTTTGGCAGAAAAAAGCGCTAGCAAGCGCTTGTAAGCAAAATGGCGATCGTAAGCGGTAAGCGCTGTCAAATCGTAAGTAGCGATTTTCCTCTAGGACACGAAGTTAGTTTTAACCGGGGAACCTAACCTAATTTAAATATATGTTTGTAAAGTATTCATATTAAAAACTTACCAATTATGAATTTTTAATAACATGTATATGTTTATTCATGTCATTATATTACTTAAAACTAATATTGAACAAAAAAACTTATAAACTCTACTTCAAAACAAACAAATTAAATAAGCAAAATGGCGGATTGTGCCAGCGCTACTGAAGTAGCAATCGTGTCCTGGCCGAAAACTATTTCAGCGCTTGTAAGCGCTTGCTAGTGCTTTTTTCTGCCAAACGCACCCATTATGAGAGATGAGAGATTTACAGTACTATTTTGTTGTTTACACAATACTTACTTCTTCTGGTGCTCGTTTCGCTGTTACCACTGCCCTATCTAGATATTGCACTGGGAGAGCGACATGACCAAACACGTGGAAATCTTGCATCGATACCAATTTGAGTAGCACCTCGATACCTAAAAGTTTTATATAAAATACAATTTATAATATTACATTGGTTTGCATGTCATAGGTATACACAGTCAAAAGGATTACGAAATACTAAGTTAGTTTTATTCAAGTGGATTCAACTTTGTCATCAATTTTTTCACTATTATTTTTAGGCGCGAATATATATATATATATATATATATATATATATATATATATATATATATATATATATATATGTGGGTCGGGCTGATTATGAACATCAGATCATGGAACGTCTCGAAACCATGCTCAACTTTCTGACACGCACTCACGCACACATCTTTTTTTATTTCTTTCTTTATCAGCCCATAAAAGTTAACTGCTGGACTCACACATATGCACCCGAATCAAAATCAATGTTTGGTTGCAAGTGATTTTAGATGTATGTGTACGTAAGTGTATGTTATTATATAAGCGAAGCATAGTTTTTTCATCACTTAAAACGTACGCAGCGCTCTGTTTTTGTTGCATTGATGACCAATGATTTTCTCGCATTTCCATAACATTTATTTAGAAAGTTTTATGTATAAAAACTTACCACTTGCTCGGTAGTGAAGGAAAACATCGTGAGGAAACCTGCATGTCTGAGGAATAAAAAAATATTTCGAAGACATGTGAAGTTCGACGAATTGGGGCTGCGCGGCGGACACTTCCTTGCCCTAAAACCCTCTCAGAAATGAGGGGAGACCTGTGCCCAGCAGTGGGACGTATAAAGGCTGTAACTTTACTTTTTAACTTTTTTTATGTATAAAAATATATATACAATGGTAAACTACTTCTTTTGAACGCGAAATGCACCCGTATCAAAAGTAAGCCTCTTCTCTCTCTCTCTCTCTCACTTTTATTTAGTCAGTTTGTCATATTTGAATATTTAATTAACGTGCGTGTCAATTTGATTAGTTGTCATTAATCATTACATTGTACATATACCTACCCTATTTTTAATATAATGGAAATACGTACCAGTGGTGGAGTTAGGCGTGACGACCATGGCAACAAGATGGCGGTCTTTCTCCACGAAACCGAATCGCGCCGACATACGGGATAGTTCTCCCACTGGGCTCGTTACATTTATTACCAACATACAGTTTGTGACTCTGCGCATGTACCCTGAAAATAAATTGGAGTCATCTAAATCACCATGGTACGTTGGTTGGCGATAGAGTTAACAGACTTTGAGTACCTTATAACTCTGTTTCCAGTTGAAAATCTAGATTTTATAAAAGATTATTTATAAAATCTAGATTTTTATATTCATTAACATTAATTTATTAAAATGACATTACTACAATTCCCGTTAACCACTCTAAGAAGAGTTTAAAATGCTTGTGCTTTGTTTCCGTACAGTTTCTTTATTCGTGTGCTTTTAGTAACATACCGTCAACGTATATCTTGACAACTTTCTCTTCTAAATCCAAGTAAGTGACGCCTTTGATATCTCGTTTGTGCCCCAACACGAACTCCGTGCGTAGGAATCCCTTTCTGTATCCCTGGAAAATATATTAAACATTATTATGATATCAATTCTTAAATCTATTGTCGTCGTCATCATCATCATTACAGCCCTTCACAAGTCCACTGCTGAACAAAGGCCTTTCCCAAGGAATGCCAAAAAGCGCGGTCCCGAGCCACCTGTATTCATCGACTTCCTAAAAGTATCACCAGGTCGTCACCCTATCTAGTGGACCCCCACTAGATAGGGAGACGACCTGGTGATACGCCCTACACTTCGCCTACCGGTACGAGGCTGCTACTCGAAAATCTTTCTTCTCCATTGGTTGTCAGTTCTTCGAGCTGTATGGCCGGCATATTGCAACTTCAGCTTAATACTCCGTTTGGCTATGTCAGTTATTCTAGTTCTACTGCGGATACCCTCATATCTAAGTTATCACGCAAAGAAACGGGGCATAGCACTCTCCATAGCTCGCTGAGCGACCTAGAGCTTCCTCATACGGCCAGTAATGTAGAAACATGTCTCAGATCCGTAAGTCATCACTAGCAACACGCACTGGTTGATGGCAAAATAAGATTTTTAAAAATTTATAAAAAAAAACTAAGTACGTCCGGCAGGAGGAGAAAGTAGGGGGCGACTCTACAACTCCTCCTCCTCCCCCCATCTCCCACCCCCAAATTCAGGCGACTTAATTGTAAACCTTACCCAATAACATCTATTATATATATATATATATATCTACTTTAAAGTACAAAAAAATACATTAAATCATTTGATCAAGAAATATCAAAAAGCACTTGACATAGTCATTAAATTTTTTGTACATTTTTAGCTAGAACTGCATTTTTTAAAGTACAATTATTAAAAACACAATTACTATTACTACCATAGAATACTATAATTACATACATAATAGAACGGGGGAGTGGGCGCAGCCCGTGTAGCTACTAAAATGTCACTAATACGTCAATTCACACGTATCCAATTTTCGCATGCAAATTATTTAGAAAATGCCAAATTGCACGCTATTTACAAATAAATATGTATTAAAATCTATTTGTCAACACAGCGAATCGGGTTTGTAGTAGTGATAATACGACGTTATTGCTTGTATGTGTGCTCCCGGCGACACCGAATCTCGTAGAAAATAACGTTGACAGCCATTATATTGTGCATTATAGTATTCTATGATTACTACCATTTAATGTGACGGACATTACAATTGCTAAAAAATAAGACCGTTGTGAATTCAGGTTTGACAAGTCACTTATATAATATATGTGTCAACATCTGGATCATACAAAACTTCTGTACATCGAGTCTCGTTGCATCTTTGGTCCCGTTTAATTAAATCTTTAAATTGATGTTGTAATTCTTGTACTAAAACTTTTTGAGTATCTGTATTTATTAACAAAACTTCTTCAATCGGACATAATGTTGATATCTTAGATCTAGAATTCTAAGAAAGAACATTTTTGTTTGATTTTAATTTCATGTTTTTCTTGAATTTGGATTAAGTCGAATTTTCGTGGATTTAAATCACTTGTACTATAATAATAATAATAATGTCCTCCAGACCGAATTTCGGTCACGGCGGCCTGCCTCAACGGAGGCTAGCCATCGGCGCAGGACAGGATTATAGTGCCCAAGTGTATGCGCAAGCACAGGTGCACTCTCTCTTCCCTCACTCTCATAATCCGATCGGACGGTAAACTGACACGACCGGAGAGAGATCAGGCGCAGGACCAACGTTTTTACGTGATTTCCGAGGCACGCGGGTGAGACACCGCTAACTTCCTGACTCTGGGCAGTTACTGAGAATTTCTTGACGGAAAAACTTAATAATTGATTTTTTGGCCCGACCTGGGATTCGAACCCAGGACCTCATGATCAGCAGTTGCACACTACAACCACTAGACCAACGAGGCAGTCACTTGTACTTGTACTATAAAATAATGTACGATACACGGAACTTTAAGTAACCAATTATTAATACGTGTAAAGTTTGTGCACTCGTTTCGCTCGTGTGCTAACTTCACTACACTACTACTACACAATAGTCGGCTACTTAAGTCCCTTGTATCGTGATGTACTATAACAAATTATTTATTTAGATATAATTATAATTTTTTACCTGGAAAGGCGTAATAATCATGACTCTTCCAGTAATGTTATTTTCGTTCTGTCCTCTGTCCAGATGCCAAGATGAATTGATCATAAGCATACCATCTTCGTTGTACTGTTATACAAAAAATCAGCATCTTATCAAACTTGTTTATGTTATTAATAAGACTTTAATCTAGACAATATTAATATTTTATATTATTATAGTATGATCGCACTCAATGTAGAGAGGAATAAATAAAAAAAGTAAAGTTACCTAGCAGTGGGACATATAGCCTATATATGTCCCACTGCTGGGCACAGGTCTCCCCTCATTTCTGAGAGGGTTTTAGGGCAAGGAAGTGTCCGCCGCGTTGCCCTAATGCGTGTTGGCGAACTTCACATGTCTTCGAAATATTTTTTTCTTATTCCTCAGACATACAAGTTTCCTCACGATGTTTTCCTTCACCGCCGAGCACGTGGTAAATTAGCACTTAAAATTGCAATTGACAATTTCATTGATACCGGCGGGGATCGAACCCGGGTTACTTGCATTTCTGTTATATATATATATATATATATATATATATATATATATATATATATATATATGTAGGCTTAAAATTATTGGCTTATTAAAGGATGCCTTTAGCAATTCCTTTCAAATTATTAAGATTGCGGATCGCGTAAGCCTACCGCCTATACAACATATAAACAAATATTGCCATAATGCATGGTTGGTAATCACCTGCACCCATTCCATTCTCCGTCCATTTAGTTTCCATAGTTTGCAACTTGTATAACATATTTTGTAGACTTAAAGTAAGTAAATAATTCACTTTAATCCGTTTAATTACAAAAAGTGGATAGTTAATAGATTCGGCTTATAACTATAGTTTAGGTAATTTGACAAATTTTTGACTTGCTATAGACCACCAACTTTAAAACCTAGTATTAATTATGGTGAGGTTGTTTTTATGTTTGTTCTTTAAATAAAACATAGCCAAAATGACTATGATTATTTTAATGTCTAGTTAATGTAGTCAAGTAGTATTCGCAAGCCTACCAACATTTCCAAAAAATTTGTATACTATTTTGTATTAAATAGAACTGTACGATGTTTTCGCGACCACTTTGGTTACCTTCAGGGACCACTAGGGACCATATCCACGGACCATCGGTTAAGAACCACTGCGCTAACTAAAGAAATACCTTAGTCGCGGAGTCACAGTCTTCGCGAAATTTTACATTTGCTGTCAAAGTCAATATTTAACATTTAGTTCGCATATTTCCACACGACTTCTTTCGTGAGGTATATTATAGTTGAAGCCTGAGACTAATTAGGAATTTCTTTTATAATAAGGCCAAACAAAATTAACTTTAGTTTTTAAGAACAGTGTTCAGAACGACCGTTTATTATCATTGCTTATTATCCGCGCATTCTATATCGGTCGGGTTGAAGGTAGTCGCACAAGGCTGCGCAGAATTCGTTTTTAGGAACAAAATGGTGAAAGACACCTCTCTGGGAGGGTAGGCGTTAAAACTAAATATGCGTATTATACGCATACTGCACAGTTCCAATTACCACAGATTTAAAAATGTTACGAAGAATCGATTATCGTTATTATCGATTATGATTCGATTTTATTTTATATTTATTGAAGTGATAACTCCTTAAGAATCGTTGTGATTTGAAATTCGATGAACCGAGAAAGCAACCCTAATAAAAGACAAATATTTTATAATTACATAGAATTTAGCCAGCCGAAAAATGAGACAGAATAGATTATATAGATTGAAATAATACTAGTTTTTACGGAATTTATCGCGTATATTTAACTTTTTAAATACCCGACGTTTCGAACGCTTTACAGCACTCATGGTCACGGGCGGGACTGAGATGTTCAACGTCCTTTTTTTATTATATTCCATTTGAAAAAATAAGGATATAAGTCAATACATATTTTATGTAACATAATATATGATGATATAATATTGTATAAAATCCGTACATTTACATATATTAACAAATATTCATAGTATACACAATTACATTATATACAACTACATAAATACAAATACGTACGTATAAATACGACTATTTAACAATATTGTAATTTGTAATTCGATTTTATGAGGTGTGTGTGAAAAATTAAAAGTTATAATATTTATTATCTGAAAGAATTGTTGTTCCCGCTTAAATCGTGTATTCACTATGTATTCAACCGTTGTGTTAATCGTAATTCTTTATTAGACACTATTGTTTTATTGAAATACATACAGATATTTTCATTATAATAATAATCGATTTAAACAAAACAATTCAGTGCGTTCATGCGCAAAAGCCAACTTCAGTCCAGCCAAGATAGAAAGGACAATACTTATTTTAATTCAAAAGATAAAAAATATCGTAACAAGCGTGTTAATTTTTAAAAAGATATTAAATTTTAAGTATATTAAAGCTAAATGAAATACACTTACGAGCTTAAAATTGTTGTGAATGGTAAAAGTATTTCCCTAACGAAAAGAAAAAAAATTTTCGCAAGAACATTGTGGAAAATCTATAACGACCAGCCTTAGTTTAGGTATAACCTGCGGCTAAGAGGGTTAACCCGTACAAAGAGTACGATTTTCTTTAAATTTTAAAATAGAGAAACTAACCTGAAAACTGAGCAACGTATCCGCGCTCTTTTTCCAAACTACTCGATGTTTCGCAATTGCGGCAGCTTTAGGCAATGTCGGTATAGTGGAGTTGACCAGCGCGTTGATTTCGCCGTAGAACTCGTTCGTTTTGAACAGATAATCGGCTAGGAGACTGAAGGCGAGGTAGTCCTCTTGCCAGTTCATACTGCCGTTTAGTGCTTGCAAGTTGTCGTGGTAGCGCCACCTGGAGAACAACAGAAGATACCATATTATTTTATTAATCTTTTTGTAACACATAAAAAACACTCACGCCTGTCACTCAGAGGGGTAGGCAGAGACTACGGACTTCCATTTCGCACGATCCTGACATACCTCTTTCGCCTCCTTTACATCCATATACCTACGCATACATGCTCGTCGGTTAAGGGTACTTCTAAAGTGGTCCATTTTCAAAATATCGCCAATTTCGTCGATAAACTTTCTTCTAGAGCGTCCCTTCCCGACTCTACCATTCACATCTGCCATATAAATTTGCTTTGTCACTCTATCCTCATTCATTCTTTCTACATGACCAAACCACCGAAGCATTTCTTTCTTAATCCTGGTCACAACATCATCTTGCATACCACATTTATCTCTTATCACGCAATTTCCCACCCTGTCATTCAGATTCAACCCTAGCATACTCCTTAAAGACCGCATTTCTACAGCATTTATTCTACTTTCGTGCTTCTTCTGCCACACCCAGCTTTCACTACCATACATTAAAGTAGGGACTAACACAGCATTATGAATTATCATACGTGCCTTTTTTGACACATTCTGATTCTTCGTAATAGAGTGTAGTGCCCCATTCACTCGATTCCCTGCTTTTACTCGTCGTTCTATATTCTTATCATATCTATCATCCCTGCTAAATCCTGTGTGCTAAAACACATCCCAAATACAAAAACTCATCCACTTGCTCAATTAATCTTTTTGTGTCTATAAAAAACGAAGTGACTTTTATGTCCCGCGAATTGTTAAATAATTATTATCTTCCGATGACAACATTGGACGACATCGACGATTGACGACAAAATTTTAGTAATTTATTGTAACTAGTGGTCGTCCAGTGGTCGAAGTTCGACTGTAATTCATAATTTTTTTATTTATCTACTAAGCAAGCTGTATTTCACCCTAAACTGTATATTAACCTCACAACTACCAAGCGACCGAACTCGGTCGCGGCGATATTCCATTAAATCGCAAGTGACCGAATTCGGTCGCTCCCACCCACAGCACTTTAGCCCATAAATAATTATCGTTAGAGACTACTTTTCTATGAAGAAGTTTGGCATTACAGGCTCAATACGAAATTGTCTATCCTCTAGTGCAATAAAAAGTCAGGTAGTCTATGGATATTTATTTATAATCTACGATCGTTTCGTACGCCATTTTCATGTGAATGTTATTGTGTTGATTTTTGGATTTTTCTAGTGTTTTATTAGTGTTTTAGTATAGTATTTCATTATAAAATTGTAATGAAAGTTTTTGTGTGAATATTATTTATCTTTTTTTCGTTTACGTAAATAATTTCGAGTAATATATAGAAATAATTGTGATTTTCCCAATGCCGACATGCGCATGGTTAAAAGGTGCGTTGGGGTAATACCGGACGATTTTCGAATAGTTGAAAGAGGCGGGTGAAAACTTTTATTTTCTCGATATCCATATACGTCAGATTTCTGAAACATGGCACAAATCATTAATGGTTACATGTAATTTAGCTATAAGAAGCTTTTAATTTTCAAAACTCAACAGTTTCTGCTTAAAACGTGTGCGAAGACAAGGCATAATTTTTTATATTCATGATGAAGTATTGGCCATCAAGGGGAAGTCCGGACGTCGCTAAAAATCGCAAATAAAAGTGATAGGGAAAGACCGGACGGACGAAAAAAATACAAAAATTACCTTGCTTTATAAAATACTGCGCAGCACACGTCCTACTTTTCAGAGCGACTGGCTGAAACTTGGGGTCGGGGCAGAATAAAATGGAGTGTTGTACCATATTGCTAGCTTTCAAAAATATAGCATAATTCAACGGAATTTTGAATTTTACGGTCTTACCCCATCACCGATCTTACCCCAATGCACTATATTTACATTTTTGTTATCAAAATGCAATAAAATCTTTTTGTAATGAAGTAAAACCACTAAAACAAGTAATATAACATAATAAATAAACAGAAACAAGTATTATATTGAAATTTATAATGAATTTTATTGAAAATAAATGTACGACTAATTCCATGTAAATATATTATTTAGGTTATTTTTAGCAACGCCGCGTCACGCGAAGCGAGCTAGCGGTGTTAATCGTTTTAGCTTGGGATTGAGGGGTTAATATACATATAAAATATAGATATGTTATATAAACAATATAAAATAAGCGTTTTTAAGCTATTTTGCTTTGGTATAATATAGTCCACAGATGATTGAAAGAGGATAACTTGTAATTGACAGTTAATTTAGTTAATCGGCCAGTGATTATTTATTATGAAACAACTGATAAAAGCCTGTATCCTAGTAGTTTCAAATGTGTAATTGTTCTATTTTAGTTGTCTATCCAATCCCTTCTTATATAAGTTAATAATTTGTGCAGATATTACTTCTGATGGCAGCTTGTTTCATGCTTTCACTTCAAAGTGCTTGTGTGAATTATTATGTAGGACACGGCTTTATTTAATTTGAGATGATGCCCTTTAAGATGTATGTTGTTTGAGTACTGGAATAATAGTTGGCTAAAATTTTCTAGATCATAGTGTCCATGTATAATTTTATATGTTCCGATCTAGTCTCCTCGTTCTCTACGATCTTTCAAAAGTGTTTGTTTAAGTTTATTCAGCCTTTCCTCATATCGTATGTTTTACAATGCTCTAAAAATGTGCGTAGAACCTTCTCCAGTAACTAAATATCTGTATAAAAATTGGTCGAATGTATATTTCATATGATTTAGCATAATTGCTGGTGTGAGATGCTTAAAGGCTTTTCATATAAGGTAAATAAAAGTATTTGAATTTTTAGTTATCACTGTAATGTGATGTTCCCATTTTTACCGTTACTGATATGCACACCTAATTCTTTTCTGTACTTTAACTTTTTCCAGAGGTAAATCATCATTTTATAGATTACGATTTCCTATATGGAGGACTGCATTTACTTTATTTAATTTAAAAAGCCACTTTTTTGACCAATGTGATATTTTAATCACATGTGCTTGAAGGCGATCAAAGTCCACTAGTGGGTTTGCGAATATCTTCGTGTGTCATCAGCGAACATGCTTACATTGCAACTCAAGATTTTAGGTAGATCAAAGGTAAAGACTATAAACAACTGGTCCCAGTACAGATTGTTGAGGTACACGGCTTTGTATTTCTGTTTTTATTTTGAGAATGTGTTGATAATTCTTACTCTAAAGGTGAACGTCATGTCCTTTATAGGTTTATTTGCACTTAGGTTTGGGTCTAAAGCAGAAAATTCTTCTGGTGGTTCTCTTTTAAATACGCTAGAAAAATGATCTGCAAATATTTCAGATATTTCTTAAGGAAATGTCACAGATTGGCCATTACTGTTTCGTAAAATTTTCGCTGTACTAACTTTTGTAGTGATTTGTTGCCTGATGTACGAGTAAAATTTCTTTGGTCCTACTTTTAATAGTTCATTCTTGTAAACTGCCCTTGTCGTGCTAAATAAGTCAGTTTGTTATTTAGCTTCCTGTATTTCTTAGATTTTATCTGAATCTGTTTGCTATTTTTCTTCCAAAGTAATTTTTTTTGTGTTCTGGTGCAAAGGGTACAGGGTCAGTTTATTTACGGGTTGTAATTCAATCCATTTTAGTCCTAAGATGTGACAACGCATCTATAGTCATTTAGCATCAGATGGACTGTTAGCTCGCTTGTTTATTTACGCTTTATTTTTACATGCGAGTCATATCTAATTTATTTTGATATCTTTATTCCTCTCACTTCTGTGAGATTTTTAAAATAAATATTGCAAAATTACTTTTTGGCTTTGTAATCTCAAAAAGTACTGACATGACATTGAAGCTCGTGTCCCGCCAGCCAGCGAAGGGCGTGTCCAGACTGGAGAGCAACGCGTACACGGTCTGGTCGCGCGCCTCCGAATACATCTTGACGCGCCACAGCACAGTCGCGTCGCTCGCCCAGCCCATGCGCACGTGCCACTCGCAGAACCAATCTGGATAATTCAATTACAACACAATATATAATACAATAAAATACTCTCTTTTACACCAAGGAAAGATTAACATAACACAAATAAACAAGTATTAACGGAAAACAAGGTCAAATTGCTATATTATAACAATCTTTTCCCGAAAACCCAAAAAATATTTAAATAAAAAGAGGGGATACATTAACGGCTAGGGCATTCTACTATAATAAAGTTCCCCAGGTCGAATTTTGGTAACGGCGGCCAGCCTCAACTGAGACTAGCCATCCGCTTAGGACGGGATTATAGTTCCCGAGTGTATGCGCAGAGTCGGTATCAGTAAAGTGCACTCTCTATTCCCTCACTTTCGTAGTCCAATGGGACGGTAATCGCACGCGGTTGGTGAAAGATCAGGCGCACAATTTATAGCTTTAGTTCTTTCCGAAGCACGGGTTTTTCTACTTTTAACTTTCCAAATTCAGGCTGCTATTGAGAATTTCTAGACAGAAAAATCTATTAAACTCTTAGCTACCAAGCGCCCGAATACGGGCGTGGCGATATTCCTACAAAATACATAGTGACCGAATTCGGCTGCACCCACCCACAGCACTTTAACCCACAAATACTTAAAATTAGAGACCACTTTTCTATAAAGAAGTTTGGCATTATAGGCTCAATATGAAATTTTCTATCCTCTAGTACAATAAAAAGTCAGTAACTCTATGGTTATTTATTTATAATCTACGTTCACTACGTACTACTACTACGTACGCCATTTGGATGTTATCGTGTTATGTTGTGCTGATTTTGTTGTTGTGTTATTATAAAATTGTTATGAAAGTTTTTGTAATATAATTTATCTTTTTACGTAAATAATTTCGAGTAATATACAGAAATAATAACGATTTTCACGCTGTCAACATCCCCTTGGTATGTACCCGTTTTTGTTATCAACATACAATAAGGTATTTTGTAATGAAGTAAAACCTGACTTTTGTTTAGACCACAGGATAGAGAATTTTGTACAGACTTTATAATGCCAAACTTATTTGTAGAAAAGTAGTCTTTAAATATAAGTTTTAATGGTTTAAAGTGCTGTGGTTTGGTGTGGTCGCATGCGAATGCTCGGGATTTGACGGACGCATGCGACTGTATGGGATTTTATGGGGATTGAAGGGTAACTGATTTTGGCCCGACTCGTGATTCGAACCCAGAACATCATAATCAACAACCACTTAGAAGGTACTATTATAACAAAGGACGCCAACTTCAAAGAAAGATAGATAAAAAATTCTTTATTGCAAACAAAAAAAATTGGTACAAAGGTGAACTTAATGCACTGAAAACAAAACATACTTTAGGCGATAGATCAGTGACAATAAAGAAAATTATTCCTATGATGGTCTTATGGTCCTGCGTATCCGACTACTGTCATAAGACTTGTGATAGAATCCCAGTGGACCACATTTTGACTGCCTCCGAGTTTATCACCGATCTTCTTCGAGTCTCTACAGTTAGACCAAGCCATTACCCATTCATCTTTCTGTCCGATTATAATTACAGTGTATTCAAGTTAAGAGTGCATAGGATGTTGCTAATAGAGTGCATATTGGGCTTGATCACCACTTACCACCAAATGGGATTGCAGTCTACCATTCGTTTATAATAAGTTGAAAAAATCTCACGGCTAAGCACACCGTATACTAGCAGAATAGGATGACGAGTGCCCTGCGAACTTATGTTTCGTGCGCTGTTGATATCTTTCGATAAATTCGCATTGTTATGCGATACGATATACAAACGCGCAAAATTAATAGACTATGTACTCATATGTATGTACCTTTGAGCAGAAATTCGTACTCCCCGTTGATAAGTCGCCCTGGATAGTGTAATGTGAGTCTGCCGGCTCGGTGCCACTTGGCCAGGCGGTCCAGTTGTATGTCTACGCTTAGCTTTTGTGAAGGGTCTCGGTTCGCATCCCAGTTAATGGACGCGCTGAGACGTTTCTGGCTGTCGCTGTTCCAACGTTGGTATGATATTTGCACGTCTCGCAGCCTGTATATAAAGCCAAACATGAGGTGAGACGAAAAAAAAAGAAAAAAATTATGACAATAATAAACCAGCTCCTCCTGCTGAAAGTACACCAAGGAATAGCTGCAATATGCTACTTTCTTATTAGAACTAAGTCGGCTTCGTAGGTCGATGTAGTACTTAATAGAACGTGTAGATGGCGCTTTTACAAAATTATTTCATTAGTAAAAAAAACATAGTAGTTATAAATCATTAGATAGATACAAAGTCAATACGCGAATACTCCCATTTCGGTGGTTTTCAAATAAATTGGCAACTTTAAGACAAAAATCTTTTAAAACAAATCTCACAAATGAAATAATTTTGTATCAGCGCCATCTATACGTTCCATCAAGTACTACTACTACATCTACATCTACTTGCGAAGCCGACGTTTCTGTCGTCTGTCCAGGCTAATCTTCGGAATGGCTCAACCGATTGTAATAAAACTTTATTAACAGATAGAACAGATAGCAAAGAGCAATAGAGAGCGAAACATTTTTAAAATAAGTGGTCTATAACTAAAGGCGAAGCCGGGGCGGGTTACTAGTACTAGTAAAATAAAGGGAAAATCTAAAAATACAACAAACTCACTGATCTATGTGCAGGTCCATATTGAGGTTGGTGTTGTTGTTGAGGTCAGCATTCAGGTTGAGACTATAGGTCTGTCCACTCACGTCCATCTCTACATAAGTGGTGAAGTTCTGTTCTGAGAGTAGCACGTAACGTATCAACGTACGGTAACTGTCTTCGTTGTATTCACCCTGGAATATATGTAAATTGTATAATAATATCATGTATAAGTGTTGAAGTTCTGTTCTGAGAGTAGCACGTAACGTATCAACGTACGGTAACTGTCTTCGTTTTATTCACCCTGTAATATATGTAAATTGTATAATAATATCATGTATAAGTGTTGAAGTTCTGTTCTGAGAGTAGCACGTAACGTATCAACGTACGGTAACTGTCTTCGTTGTATTCACCCTGTAATATATGTAAATTGTATAATAATATCATGTATAAGTGTTGAAGTTCTGTTCTGAGAGTAGCACGTAACGTATCAACGTACGGTAACTGTCTTCGTTGTATTCACCCTGTAATATATGTAAATTGTATAATAATATCATGTATAAGTGTTGAAGTTCTGTTCTGAGAGTAGCACGTAACGTATCAACGTACGGTAACTGTCTTCGTTGTATTCACCCTGTAATATATGTAAATTGTATAATAATGTCATGTATAAGTGTTGAAGTTCTGTTCTGAGAGTAGCACGTAACGTATCAACGTACGGTAACTGTCTTCGTTGTATTCACCCTGTAATATATGTAAATTGTATAATAATGTCATGTATAAGTGTTGAAGTTCTGTTCTGAGAGTAGCACGTAACGTATCAACGTACGGTAACTGTCTTCGTTGTATTCACCCTGTAATATATGTAAATTGTATAATAATGTCATGTATAAGTGTT